GCTGCCGGCGGGTCTCACGAGGTGCCGGCAGCGGTACGGTCGGACCGGCTCCTATCGGGGTCAGTGGAACGGACCGGCCGGCGGGTCGACAGACCAGTCGGTCGGCCGAGCCGGACGGACGGCACGGGGGGGGGAGAGGGGGAGAGAGGTGTGGGAGGAGGGAGGGAAGGTGTGGCTTGGGAAAGAGGAAGGGGAGAGAGGCACCAGAGTTGGAAAAAAGAGAATGAACCGAACATGAAGGAGGCGACTGGCATAACATGTGAAAACTCCGAAGAAATAAGAGCTTGTTAGATAAAAAGCTATATCTGGAAGAAAAGATAAATATATCGGAAGAAGCAATGAAGTTAAAAGGGCCTGGCGATGATTAACAAACTGAAAACCGGTTATCTGTACACCAACGGCAAAAAAGTAGAACATACACAGACAAGAAAAAGATGGTGGAAATAGAGCCGCAAACGTTACAATACCCGAAGTGATTCGTTTATGACCTGGAAGTCAAGTTGGCTAAACTAGCTCATGTCCTTCCAACCAACACATCCCCCTGGCGAATCTAGCTCGTCGCTGCTGCTCCATTTGGCCGTCCCAGCCCACAAACGCGGCCAGCATGACATTGGAGCGCTCGGCGGCGCGGCGGCGCGCGCGGCGACTTTCGAGGCGGGCGGCGCGGAGAAACCGGCCCAGTGGCACTGAGTTCAGTGACCTGGTGGGGCGGGCGGGGTGGCCGCCCAGCCGACTCAGCTTTCACGACGGTCGGGACAGCGAGCCGACGGCGGGGCGCGGGCGGAGCTGGAGGAGAGCGGATATCGGGTCTGAGGGAATACAGATCGGGGAGAGAGGGAGCAGAGATCGGGTCCAGATCAGGGTCCCAGAGACCAGAAACCGGGTTCCAAAAACCAGAGATCAGGATCAAAGGGAGCAGAGATCGGGAAGGGGTCTGACCTTTTGGAAATGTTAGGCAAAAGGAGATTTGTCGCAGAGGCTGCCTTAAAATAAGAAATATCGGAGTTCAGAGCATAAAAAAAAATCGGCCAAAACCGAAATTCCTGAGACTTCCGTGACTGATATATTAACCAGTAAAACGCCTTTTGGGCGAAGAACGAGCGAGCGAGATAGGAGCCCTGCACGTGCAGAAGGGCGAGAGGGTACTTCCAACGGACTTGCGCAAAGCACCCTTCTAACCGGTCGATAGCCGTGTGCCAAATTTGAACGCAATCGGCCCAGCCATTCCTGAGATCTGGAAGCGGCATTCTGCACGTGCGCACGTGCAAACGGGGTCCAAAATGACTTTTGCACGGCACCCTACTAACTGGTCCCCAACCGTGTACCAAATTTGAGCGCAATCGGCCCAGTCGTTCTCGAGATCTGGAAACGCCCCCTGCACGTGCTCACGTGCAGTAGCACCCTAACTGCAACACATGGGAATGCATTGCCTGGTGGGTGCCTACCTGTATGCCAAGTTTCAGCGAAATCGCCCCAGTAATTACCGAGTTACTGAAATGGGAACAAATTTGGCACCTTTTATTGTTGTATTTTGCACGTGCAGTGGGGGTCACTCACATAGATGAAGAGTATCCGACCTTTGGTAGAAGGGATGCAGCTACCTTATAAAAATGACCGCAAGACAATCGCTCAAGCCGCTGCTGAGATATGGGCCTCTCAAAATCATTACTTTTGCAAAACTGCTTGAACACCCTTGACTTTTCACGTGGCACGTGCCACGGCGGTCACTGAGATGTATCAAAAGTAGTTAATTACGGGGTAGAAGGGATGGAGCTACCCAGAAAAAAAGACCGCAGGCCATTCGGTCCAGCGGCTGCTGAGATATAAGCCTCTCAAAAGCGTTACAGGCCGGGCCGGGCCGGGCCGGGCCGGGCCGCTCATACTGAGATTTTTCCGTTATATTGAAAAGACTTCGCTTCGCTCGCTGCGCTCGCTCGCTCGTAACCACAAATGCTTCCATATATAGTTAAATGCACAGGCCACAGCCCATAAAACATTGTGAAATGACACCCGTACTCCGTAAATTTTGCTCACTGAAAATCAACCGACAACGTAGGGGAGAGTGGGGTAAGATGCCCAGGGTGGGAAAGACGCCCCACCCCCTCTAGCGGCGAAACAATGAATCGAACCTGGAAATTAATGTTCATAACGTAAAGCGGAAGCCTGCCTTGTTAACTGCACAAAAATTTGCGAAGCTCAGTTGGGCAACGGCTGGCTGGTGATTGCATGTTTTTTATTTGCTGCTTTCAAAAAATATTTTGGTGTCAAAACATTGTAAATATCAAAGAAGATAGATAATTTTTGCGTCCCTTGTTATAGTCGTGATACATTAACATGCGTGCACTGTGTCCCAAACAGTTTGTTTCAGGGTGTAGTTTTATGGCTAACAAATTGTACTGATTTAATGTTACTTCGGTACCTTGGGGTAAGATGCCCCCTGTCCTGATGGGGAAAGACGCCCCCCTAAATCTGTAGGCTGTCCTTCAAGCAGCCCGTCAAATCATTTATTACATACTTGTGATGAGAGACAAAAGCCGATCTGGGACTATTGAGAGTCCAGTACGGTCGGGTGCTCCCCATGCCGGTCTCTCGGCCCACACAGCGACTTTTGGGGCGGCATCTGACTCTGAGCCCTCACGACGGCCTCTGTGGGCCCCATTATTGGCTCCAGGGCCCCTCACGACATCCTTTGAGGGCTCCCACGTTGGCTCCACGGGTCGCGCTGGCATCTGGGGTCCCCACGATGGGCTTGATGGCCCCCAAGCATCATAAAGACCTATAAGGGCCCCACAGTGGTCTCCGAACGCCACCACGGAGGCTTGTTTGGCCGCGCTGGACTATGATGGCCCTAACGATGACCTCTGAAGCCCCTTACGACTACTTTTGAGGGCCCTTACGATGACGTTTGATGTCTACTGCAGGCTCGAAGGGACTACTGATTCGTTCAGGCGATTCACGTGCCCATTTATGTCACTTATAGTGCAGGGGGCATCTTTCCCAACGCCAGGGGGCGTCTTTCCCACCCTGTGGGGTAAGATGCCCCCTTTCACTTATTCAGGAAAATGCTTAATAGCAAAAAAAGTTATCATATTTCAGGCGCGAAAGTGTGATATTTTTGGAGAAAAATGATGTCGGCTTCCGTTGAAACTCGAAGTTTTTGCTTTCCGATCGTCATTTTCGAATAATATATGACATAGTAAAACACTGGGCATCTTTCCCCACTCTCCCCTACACACGATTGCCTATTTTCTGGCGGAAGACGGGAATGTAGACGGGACGGAGACGGGACGGAAGGTGGGACGGGGATGAGACGGAAAACGCGACGGGAGACGTGACTGGTGATCTTTCACCGAGAAATGCCACAATTTGAGCATACATACTGCAGTGTTAGCGGCAGACTTCTACGTCGAGTTTCTCTCCTGGTGGCCAGGTACCGAACTACTGCTTCCACGACTGCTCGCCAGGTATCAGGGTGGCTGAGGCGGTGCAAGCGCTCCACTCGGGGCAGCCTTCAATCTCAAATGGTCTTTGAGAACGCCTTCGTCGTGGAACGGATACCGTTTATCATTTGATGAGACTCCACTGACCGTTCTTATCTGCTGCTTCCAGCTGACGGCTACTCTACCAAACAGCTGGTGAAAGGACGAAGATCTTACAAAATCATACCCTCCACGGTGACTGTTTGAGTCCTCCATTCCGTCGTTTCCATCCTCAGGAGTCAGGATAATCAAATCCTTCTCCTCCACGCCTCCACTTCTGTTCCAGGGCTGGACGGGCAACTTTATCCCATGCGGGTAGCTCCAATAGGAGCAGGCCCGTAGCCGGGTGATGTGAGTGTCAGGGGGCTGGGAGGCCTGTCCTCGTGAATGGCTCAGCCCCAACGAGAGTCACAGGGGGTTCGTCCAGACCAATGTCTCCCCCTAATTCCTGTCATCCTTCCGGCCCTGAAATGGTCTTCGTTAGACCGAAAGAGGCTAACCCAACAAACAGTTTGAGTGGTTGAGTGGTCTGTCCTCCTTAACGTCACTTCCAACGAGGCGGACTTGACATCTGAAAGCTATTCCTCATAAGTTCGTGGCTATTCCGCTTCATTTCTTCGATTTATGGCATGCATTAGCATGACTCCGCCTTTAAATAGCAAGCCAATCAATACGGCTGAGAATTAAAACAGCTGAAAACATCTGACTTTTTCCGAACCATTATAGAACCTTCAACACTGTTTAAAGGCACCAGGCCAATACAGACGTCCAATGTATTGACCAGCCCCATCAACAGCTATGGTCGCCCGTCACATGTCTGCCCCCTCCCCCTCCCCGTACAACCCCTCTCCCCCCTCCTCCTATGCATTATTGGTTGGCGAACGGTGGCCCAGTGTTGAGCGTTTCTCGTTACCCGGCCAACCAGTTGCATTCCACGGGTGGGGGCGATCGATGCACGAGACTGTGACCTGATTGGTCCGGTGGGTGGCCGGAGGGTGGTGACACAGGGGCGGTGTCAGTGGGTCAGAAAAGGGGTATGGGGGTAGCAAGGAGGGTAGGATGAGAAAAAGGGGAGGACCAAGAAAGGGTGTAGAAATTGGGAAGGGAAGAGGTGATGCGTGACGGAAATAGCTAGACAATCAGGTGTGATGTTTTTTTCTAAATGATATACATATATTCATAGATATGGTAAATTTCTTTGCCCACTGAGTGTTGATAACTGATGAATGCTTTCATGCTGATACGTCTAACATGCGCTGGCGATGATGAGTATCTGCGGTTTTATTGAGACCGTCAGTCATTTGATCTACACTTTCGCCTCATTCTATGTTCTATAGCATTGCACCCTCTGACACCCCACTCCTCGCCTCGCCCTCTTTACCTACTGCAATGGAATGTCGAGACCGTCGACCCCCTCCCCCTCCTACCGGCGCCGCCCCTGACGCCAGTGGAATGTTGTCGTCGACAACCGACGAAGGCGCGTCGATCGCGCTGCCGATCCTCATCGGTCTCGACGCTCACTCCAGTGCTTCCTGCTGTCCGTGACCGTCGCCTTCGACGCAGGGTGCATCCGGCTGTCTGTGTCTCGAGAGCCCTCCAGAATGCCCAAGAAGGCGGCTAAAGAAGACGAGCACGCATGGGTGTTCGATTCACTCGTGGATTTCCTCCGGGGTCCGCTCTGGAACATTCCGATCATGAACTTCATCGAAGAGAGGTCGATGTTATTCGAACCTGACGGAGCCAACAGCAAGGCCTACAAGAAGGTTCACGATGACTACAAGAACCTGGTGGATCTGATGCTGGGTTCCTACATGGAAGACATCGGCATCACGCCAGAGCAGTTCGAGAAGGCCTGCAGCAACGCGGCCGCCGAGATGAAGTCCAAGTTCCACCAGCTGCAGTTCGAGCAGCTGTGGGCGGCCGACGACTTCGACATGTTCCAGAGGATGATGATCCGCACCAACATCGAGCTGCAGTTGCAGGCGCTGGAGCTGCTGCAGCACCGCCACGGCGTCATCCCGGCCAGCTTCCTGCCGGGCGACGTTAGCGAGCAGGAGCGCCGCATCCTGGAGGAGGTGACGCGCCGCTCGCTGGAGGACCAGGGCGGCAGCGTGGACGGCGACACCCGCGCCCTCGAGGAGGCCATCGTCAGCACCGAGCAGACCAAGCAGCAACTGCGGGCCGGCCGCGACCGCGAGCAGGAGATCATCAACAGCACCATGAAACTGTCCATCTCCGACCCGCCGCAGGCCGCGCCGCAAACGGCGGCTGATAAAATCTCGCCCGAGGAGCTGAAGAGAAGGCAGGAGTACCTGCGTCAGCAGCGGGACAAGCTTCTGCTGATGAAGAGAGCAGAACGTGAGAAGATGCTGGCGGCAGAGGGAGAGTCCAAACAGGCGAGACCCAAGTCTTCACGCGCGGCGCGGTCGGCCATGGCCGGCAAAGTCGACCCCAAGACCGTGGAGATGAGGAGGAGCTTGGCCAAGGTTCTTCGTCAAGAGGTGGTTGACAAGAAGTAAGAGTGAAACAGATGAAGTCAGCAAGAGAGAGAAAAGAGGTACTGCGGCATGAGGTAATGTGTTCTGTGGAAATATTGTCCTGGTAATGGCGTGGTGAAGATTCACAAGTGAGTATCTAGAATCGATAGTTAGTTGAAAATATGCGATTGAAATTGAAAAGCATGCGATGAGAGGTGTGAGACGAGGAACGCATTTGTTCTGGCGATTGTACCATGCGGTGACACAGAGGCTTTCAGTGTCACTAACTGAGCACATGGACGAAGATTGAGATATTTGTGAAGTGGGTACCGTAATGTAGGTACTGCCGAATACACAGTGAACAGGACATGTCTGGTGCCTTACGTCGAAAGAGCGTTGACTGCAACCGAGTAGTAAGTCGTTTGTTGCACCATTGCAATTTTCGTTTTTCGCTTCACCTGTCGATATGTTAAGTTTTCGCGCTTCTTCGTCTTGACAGAACCCTCGTGCTCAAGTAGTCAAATAAATCAGAAAAGACAAAGACGTTTGTGAAAATGGAAAAGAATGAAAGATGACACGATCATTTTCTTTTTAGCTATTGCTTGTTTTAGCTATTGCAAACGACACAAAACTAGCCCTTTTCACGACGGGTTTCTGGTACACAGTTATTGCAGAGTAGGTGCAGATTTGGTGCAGATTTGGTCAAATTAGATTCATTTTGTTTCTTAAAAGTTGTCAGTGTGGATTGCACAGATTGTTACCTATATGCCTCATTTTTGACATTATGATATTATTTTCGATAACACTGAAATAAATTCATGATATGAAGATATTTATTGGAATTTGGTGCAGATTTGGTCAAATTAGGTGCATTCGCCAGACAGCCCGTTGTTAAAACGGCCAATATGCACCATGTTCGGCGGATCCGGCTGAGGCCTGCCTCTCCGACGGCCGTGCTGCGCCTGTCGTGGCGCCATCTCGCCGCCTCTAGCGCTGCCTGGTGGCCAAAACGGCTCACCTATGGACTGAAGCCGGGCCCCGTATACAGCTGTGCAATAGGCCACCTCAGGTGACAGGTCTAGCTGTTCATTTGTTCAACCGTGATTTTACAAATGGAGAGGTGCTTTGCAACAGATTGAAGTGATTGAAATAACTATAACAAAACAGATTTAACAGTTTTTTACAGTTGCGATTCAGAGTCGGCACCTGCAAGCAGTGGCGGATCCAGGGGGGGGGGCAAAATGGGCATTTGCCCCTCCCAAACGGCATAATTTTAACATTACGCCTATGGACGAGGCATGGAAAGAATCGATAAATTGTCATGATTTGCCCCCCCCCCCAAAAAAAAAACTCTGAGCTGGATCCGCCAGTGCCTGCAAGCGGATGTGACATGTCGGTGACTTACGATCAGCCCGATGAGACAGAGGCATTTGGCCCTCAACAACTAGTCCGCTATATCAAAATTCAAAATCGCTATATCAAAGTAAATTATTTTCATCTATTTACCGTGGACAAAAGCTCAAAGTCTTTTTAATGAATTCAAATGGACTCAATGACCCATCCTTTTCATTGTTAGGACCAATACCTGGCTAAATCGATCTTGCTCACACTTCACTTCTCTGGACCCCACCCCCTGCGGAATGCCTTCAGCCGCCGGACTCACCAGTCTATTAGCAACTCGTGGTGCTTCTCGTTTACCCATTATTCAAGGTAGTTTGATCAGTGTACGAGGCTAGGTTTCCTCACAGTTTTGGTTTTTCTTATTTATTCGTGGATTTTGTTAACCTGCGCAATACTAACTTGGTGAAATTTAAGAGCAACAAGCTGTTTTATTTGCATTGTTCATCCTTGTGATGCATGATGAAATCAGTGACAGTATGCACTTAGGCCATGGGCATAAATAACGGAATGCCACCGCCCTCCTGAGACGGAGCAGTTTGGTCGACTGCCTCACTCTAGCCGATAAGACATGTTCACTCACTTCATGGGTGTGCTCTATCAGATGATCGGATCGTTCCTCGCTGTAACGGTATTCCGTGCATCGCACGAGGACGTCTTACCTCACACCTCCTCCTGGTAGCGTTTAGTAGGAAAACTGGGCTCTTTCCTGATGGGTAAGAGTATATTCTTTCGTTCCGGAACTTCGATACAATGATCAGGAACAGAAGACAGGATTAATTGAATTTCGAGCAGACCAAGGATCTTAAAATGAGGTGAACTAGAGATATCATTTAGATGATGCGCTGAGTTTCATTTTCATTCATGATTCTAGCCAAATTTATTCATGTTTGTCCCCGTATGTGCATTTCAAACTGAAACACAAATAAAAACACACAGAAGTATTTACAGGGTGGACCAAAAAGGATGGAAACATTTTAAACTCGTATAAAACATGCAATATTGCATGCAGGTGACTGAAAATATTACTGTATGCCTGGTCTATTCAAATACATTAGCCAGAGGGGTGTGGTAATAACTGGTGTAAGCAAATTGACCACGGTCAAAAATGCATTACCAGAATGCACTTAAGCCAACATTTTGGGATGTTCTCGTTCCTAAGTCGGCTAAGAGCTTCGGTCCAGAAAATAAATTTATCGTTGGCATCGTTGGCATACAGTAAAATACATACCAAACTCGGCCGGTGATAAATTTTCAAGACCTCAGTCCTTACTGATTTTTGAACTCGGCCTTCGGCCTCGTTCAAAAATCCAGTAAGGACCTCGGTCTTGAAAATTTATTTACACCGGCCTCGTTCAGTATTATATAATACCAAACGAGAGTGCATTTTGTGGAAATTCATAATGACATCATGCTCAGCTGCTTTCTCTCGTTTTCAGTCTCTCACAGCAAATGTTCGAAGAGACCATCTTTGCGAGACAGGCACAGATCGGCCCGCCTGGCGGCTGACGCGATAGCCCGACGACACATGTCCTCTGGTATGACTCGCACAGCCTTGGTGATCGCTCTCTTCAGGTCACTAAAGCTTACAGAACCTTCTTTATAGACCTGACCGGTGACCCTTGAGATGACCCTACAGGAAAAAAATCCATAGGGTCAGGTCGGTTAGTGAGCAGACAGGCCAGTTCCACTTCGGTTCGAGGGTGGGAGCGACGTGGCTGACCTACCAAGCGACGCTTAAGAAGTTCTTGAAGTGAGATCAAGCGACATATGGCAGTATCTTGGACCTCATGTGGCTCCAGCAAGGCGGTGCGTCTCCTCACATTGCAAAACAATGCTCAAGTGGATCGAGAACCACTCTGGTGACCGGCTGATATCCCGCGGTGCCAGTCGGAACTGGCCCGTCTGCTCACTTGACTTGACCCCTATGGATTTTTTCCCTGTAGCGTCATCTCAAGGGCTAGGTCTACAAAGAAGGTCCAGCAAGCTTCTGTGGCCTGAAGAGAGCGATCATCAAGGCTGTGCGAGTCATACCAGAGGACATGTGTCGTCGGGCTATCGCGTCAGCCGCCAGGCAGGCCGATCTGTGCCTGTCTCGCAAAGGTGGTCTCCTCGAACATCTATTGTGAGAGACTGAAAACGAGAGAAAGCAGCTGAGGATGATGTTATTATGAATTTCCACAAAATGTACTCTCGTTTGGTATCATTTTCAGTCACCTGCATGCAATATTGCATGTTTTATACGAGTTTAAAATGTTTCCATCCTTTTTGGTCCACCCTGTATTACGGAGCGAGCGAAGCGAGCGTAGTCTTTCCTTAGATTAACGGAAATTTCTGAGTATGAGCGGCCGGCCGGCCTGCCGGCCGGCCGGCCGGCCGTGGTCACGCTTTTGCGAGGCTTATATCTCAGCAACCACTTGACCGATTTACATGCGGTAATTTTTGTAGGGTAGCTTCATTCCTTCTACCAAGTATTGGACTATTCCCGATGCATGTGGGTGACCCCTTATGCACGTGCCACGTGCAAAACGAAGAGGTGTCACTTTTGTAATTGTTCAATATCTCGGTAACTACTTGGCCGATTGCGCTGAAAGTTGGCATGTGGGTAGGCACCCACTATGCAATGCATATCCATGTGCCAGAGTTGAGGTGCTGCTGCACGTGCGCACGTGCAGGGGTCGATTCCAGATCTCGAGAACGGCTGGACCGATGGCGCTCAAATTTGGTACATGGCTAGGGACCGGTTAGTAGGGTGCTGTGCAAAAGTCAGTTGGGACCCATTTTGCACGTGCGCACGTGCAGGGTGCCGCTTCCAGATCTCGAGAACGGCTGGGCCGATTGTGCTCAAATTTGGCACATCGCTAGAGACCGGTTAGTAGGATGCCGTGCACAACTCAGTTGGAGGTACCCCCTCGCAATTTCGCACGTGCAAGGCTCACCATCTCGCTCGCTCCGTTAGTCGCCCCAAAAGGCGTTATACTGGTTCATACATGAATAATTACATATTAAAAGCATTTGGTTTTAATGCAGAGTAACAGCGATGCTCACGTATACAATATATCACTAGCTAAAGCTATGAAAAGTTTCTCCAACTTAACCCTCGCCGGCCGAGGGGGGGGGGGCGGTGCCGCCCCCCATAGGGTTTTTTCTCGATAGCTCCGAGCACGCTGGCGATAGAGAGCTGAAACTTGGTATACCTGACCTTTGATTCAAGCTGAATCTTTTGAAACCAACCGCATTTTTGGGTCAGGTCAGGTCACTGACATATGACGTCATAAGTGAACCTCTGCACGGTCTCCAGATGTCGCAACTTCGCAACGCCCTCACTGCCAGAGCAGATGTCACAGGGAAATGAAACTTGCAGGATCTAGTATCCATTATGAGTCACACAACTTGTATGTCTCGGATTTTTCCTAAAGGTCATATGAGGTCAGGTCATTTTCGTGACCTCACCATTATAAGTCAATGGGGAAAAATGAAAACTGCTTTTCTGGCGCCGGGAACGATCTCCAACTATCTCAAGCACACAGAATCGTGATTTGATGCACTCCTTGCAAGGTTAGATGCGTCACTTTTGCAATGTTGACCTTGCGTGACGTCATTTATGACGTCATCCAGGTCATGTTAGTTTTTCGTCAATAACTCCTGATCAAATTGGGCTAGCGAGTCGGGAAAGCCACCAATGGACTCAGGAAGACTTGCCGAATCGAATGATATGCGACATGACCTCTTTCGACCAACTTCGTGACCTGGGGATGCTGACCTGACCTTGACCTGAGGTCAACACCCAAAGTTGACCTGACCCGGACAAAAAGTATATCATTCGACGCGCCTGAGCAAGTCGAACATGATGCTGCCAAAATCGGCGCTCTGCGGCCGTTTTTTGCGAAGTTATTCACCAAAAACTGAACCGTACCTTGGGGCACTTGACCTGACCTCAGAGGTCACCGGTTGACCTAGGACCTTAAGATCGGGTACCAATCTCTGCGTCTCGTAACGGCGCACACGCTCGTTTCTTCCGCGACGCGCTAGCTTCACCAGGGGCGAAACGGCGAGGGGGGTCGTACCCGCCCCCCCCCCCCCGGCCGGCGCGTATGTAGAAAACCAATAGGTCCGGCGAGGGTTAAAGGGACCCTGCGGCCTCCCACCTTCAAAAAGCTCATGAATTGGGCATAGAAGTGATGTCCCTTGGATCAGAAAGATCAAAAATGAATATCTACCAAATTTCACCGAAAATCATTCACGGCCTTTCAAGATATTAGACTTTCACTTTTGTTTACTTTCTCTGAGACCTCCGCTGTTCCTACGACGTCATTTGGAAGCAGTAATTTGGCATTCTAAAATTGCAGCAGATGTTGTGCGCAAAGCAGCATATAACACCACGCGTTATACCACCACGCGTTACCAAAACGTTTTAGTAAAAGATTTAAAATTGGTAGAACTGCGCTGACGTCACAAATTCTAAGGGGGCATTTAAATGCATTAGCCCCTTAGGATCGGAAAACTGCAAGTTTGAAGTTAAACATCTCCAAATTAAAGCAATTCTCGATGTTGTGAGTGCCCAAACTGGTAAGTGCAAGCCATGGACCCCAATTTGGCTATCTCAACTCAAAAGTAATCTTAAGGTGCGATGGTCACTTTAACAGAAACTTGGTTTTTGTTTCATTGTCATTTGTTTTGCAGTTTAAAACAATCTGGTCCTATTAAACGTTGCTTAATTTTCTTTCTATGCCAGGAATGAGGAAAACTTACAAATTTCCGTCCACTTCTAGCGCTGCAGAAGAGGCAAATCCCCAAATGCCCCCAGGCCCCATGATTCGCCAGACAGGTTTTCACAAAACTATTGTCATCATGATGACAATAGTTTTGTCATGTGAAACACATGCATTCATGCATACCTTATTTTACATGCATGTGTATATGTGTACCTTATTTTATTGTATGATCAGTAATACACTTGAACGACACGTTCAAAAAGTGAGAACGAAACTCGGTCTCATTTTCGGTTGAAACTGCTGACAGCGACTTGTGTTAAGTTTTTACGTAGTTTTCAGTTTATTTTACAGTGAAGCATTGTTGGGGCAGAGACCGATGCATTTATGCCGGGGCGCTAGAGCATATAAACTGCCGCTGGGCGTTGCAAGTGATATCGTTCCAGAATCCGTCAGAGCTGGAGGTAGCCTCTGCCTCTCCACAGCGCATCGAGGCTGGACTGGGCTCGGTGCCCCCGTCCCAGTCCATGTAGCCGCTGGGGTAGTCCGTGCCGTCCTCCCACTCCCAGGCGGTCCCGCTCTCGGCAGTCAGACCGATCCATACTTTGTCGTTGGACGCCATGTCAGCCAGGGCGTACAGAGCCGCCGCGTTGTCGGCGGTCATGGTGGCCAGGGTGCCTCCCTGCTCCTCGCAAATGCCCTGGGCGTCCTCGAAGTTCGACGAGCCTTCGGAGAGTGCGAAACACTGACCGTTTACAGGCATAGAGCCATCGGCGCAGGAGCCCATCAGTTTGCTGATAATTGTGTCGAGCTTGGCATCGAGCGCCTCGATTTTGTCGCAAATCTCTTCCTGACCGGTCTGCAGTTCGTCCAGCTTCGTGTCAACGTCAGAAAGCTCGGCTAGGATCGACGTTTCCACGTTAGTCAGTTGCGTTGACAAATCAGAAATATCCGACCCCAGCGCGGTCTGTCCGTTCAAAATCATAGTCTTGGCGACATCGATTTGACTCGAGACGTCGGCTATGTCGTCATCAAGATCACCGATTGCGTCCAGAATCATCGATTTTGTAGTTGACAGGTCGGATGACAGTGTGTCAATGCTACTCGATATCATTCCTTGACCGTCCAAAATCATAGATTTGGTTGTGGCTAGTTCGTCGGACAGAGTGTCAATCCCATCAGAGATGTCCATTTGTCCATCAAGAATCTCTGTTTTTGCATTCTCCAGGTTGCTGTTCAGGTCAGCAATATCCTTAGTAATCTCATCCTGACCATCCAGTATAGCAGCCTCAGCCGATTCCACCGCCTTCAGAATATCGTCCAACTTCTCCGCTTCCGTTCCCAGCTCTCCCAGCGACGATTTGATGTGCGCCTGGCCTTCTTCCAGCTCGGTGAGGTCGCAGGTGCCACCCCCTCCGGACACCGCCTCCAGAATCTCCATCTGTCCGGCAATCAACATGTCCTTGGCGCTCATCACCGCCTCCAGCAGTTCGTCCAGCGCCAGGGTCTGGTTGTCCAGATGACCGGAGAGCGAGTCGAGCTTCTTCTTGGTGTCTTTGCTGCTGGAGCCGCGCAGGGTCAGGAAGCGCCCAGGCAGTCTCTGCTCCGGGGAGGAGGTTCCAGTGAAGGGTAGTCGATCGGATGAGTCGGCTGTGACCGGGGAGCGGCTTCCGAGGGCCGCGGAGGCCGCGGGCTGTAAAAGAGAAAACATTGTCACAAAGGCAACTATGGCAAGCTTTACATATATAAGACTTTATATAAGTTACATTAGCAAGAAGCCTCTTAGCCTCTATGATGAAAAAAGATAATTCTACATAGTTTTTCTTTTTATAATATCTTATCGAATATCCTACATTTTGTCAAGCCAGTCAGTGTCACTCATATGCTTCATGAAATGTAGGCAATAGGTAGGTTTATGTATTTGGTGAAGTGCGTAGCACTTTCGGATTGTCATCTTATCCTGAAGAAGATGTTAAACTAACCCATTCCTTTCTCCCGCTTTTGTCACGGAAAGATAACCGACGTTGCAGAGCTTTCGTGACCTTCCTGTGGACTGTTTTGGTGGCTGTTTTTATATAAACATTCAACACACTGACTGTCTTAGTCCACCTGCCCTGCCATTATCAGCTGCATTCAAAAGTTCAAAAACTGAATTATACACGGAATGACACCTTCCCATCCCAACAATTCTGGGACACCGACAGGAACCCTGTACTTACCAGCTCTGGTTTTCGTCGGTCGTTGGTCTGGTGCGGTGTGGGAACTGACACCGCTGACAGGTGGCCAATCAGTAGGAACAAGATCAACAGAGATAAAGACAAAGTGGTTTGCATGCTCGGCACAACGGTCCAGTCAAGTGAGACTGAACTGGAGAACCGAGCTGCTGAGCTGGAGGTTCAAGTTGCCGAGCTGGAGGTCCACGTCGACGAACTGATGTTCACGTTGCCGAACTGGAGGTCCACAAAGCTGAAGAAGCTGTTCACCAACTTCAATAGCCAGCCTGGTGAACTAAGCTGACCGCCCGCGAGATTGAAGGAACAGTGAAGCACCCGTCCAATAACTGGCGGTCTGGGCTGCTGAATTGGTTGATGTTGAAGGTAGAGGTGCTCCCACGAATCGGAGGCCCTTCGTCAGTCCACAATCCAGTCCCAGACCACCAGCACTATGGCACTCCTGTCCGATGTGGAGGGTCGACTGGACACGTTCCGCGGGCGGCACTTCACAGACGGTGCCGGGGGCTTTCACATGTAGTTCGTTGGTCAGTAAGAGCCTTGTTTTTGTGTGCAGCTTCCTGAATATCCACCGGGAACGGGGTTTTGTTGCGGAGTCTGGTGTTTTTGTCGTGGGTAGGTTTACAACTATTTGTTTTTTCAGTTGTGTATCACTTTGATCTTGATCAGGCATCAGTTAGTCAAGCACCGAGAAATAACGTAGTACCTAACAAGAGCGCACACAATGGCAATAAATCATAGCAACGTCATTTTGTTGATACGACAATGCCTCTTATATTTGTATGCATTCAGAACCTAACACCTTTTATTATCACACATGATACTTTATAATTTACCTTATATCAACCGTTTGTTGAAGACGTTTATGTAGGTGAGGCAGCCGAGGTCATTATCAGAGTGTATCTGACGTCAGGGTATTGGTGCTAACTACTGGCACACGGCCCGAACATAACCGTTAGTGAGTGCCCGACCATCTCTGTTAGCTCACTAATAAGAGCCAGAGGGCCTGCAAGCCTGTGTTCTGACTGACCCAGACCGTCACGACCCGCTAAGAAGAGCTTCGCATGTCATTACCTATCTAAATCCGTACTGAGGCGCTCCAACAGAAAGCTAAAGTTATTGACAGCATCCAGTTGCAGAGACGAACGGGTAGCCTGAAAATCTGAGCTTTGCGGATGTGACGTTACGTGCTGTAAATTGTTTGGTCACACATTTCGTCTATTTATAGTCCGGATTAAGCTATATTTTCGTCAACAAAGCGCATCAGAAGCGAGATGTTCAATGTAGCATCGTGTCACTCAAGCTTCCTTGTTTTATATTTTCATATACAGGGTGATCCAAAAAAAATTGGAACCCCTAACTTAAAATGTCTGTAAGTCAGGAAATTTTCACTTGATTGATAAATTTCAAACACCATTAGAAAGAGCGTTCAATTCTCTATAAGACCAAGATGATTGTACTTACTTATTATTATTAATATTGCCCTAGACATATGCCTATAAAATTTGTGTCACGAAACTCAGTGAAACGGTTTTGAACATTATGCGCAAATCAGTGATTGGCGGTTTGCTGTTCTGATTTGCTGTTCTGCTTGTTGGAGGTTCATCAATAAAAATAGCTCATTCACGTGCTATTGTAAGGAAAGGAAAGGCTGACAGCCTGCTGGGACCAGTTGTCCCAGAGACTGCTGGCCCGCGCAGTCGGAGCTGTCCCCAAGCAACTGCAGGCCTGCGGGACGGCCCCCGGAGCTCGCGTTGAGCACATGCTGTGATGAACAGCGGAAGTTAGGACGCGTGTATCTGTTCTACTGTGTGCTTCTGTGTTAACTTTTATGAAATAAAACTGAATTTGGAAGTGGTGTTATTCGCAAAAAGACAACAGATAGAGTGCTAACGGATTTCAGCTCATTGTTAAATTGGACGATTTCGTTTCACTCAGTTTTCTGTCGCTCATTCCAAAAGCTAATAGTGTGCCAATGCTTTACAACAAACATGCACCAATTTGACGTGATTTTATAGAAAATTTAATGCTCTTTCTAATGGAGTTCGCAATTTGTCAATAAAATGAATACTTTCGGACTTATAGACATTTCAAGTTAGGGGTTCCAAATTTTTTGGATCACCCTGTATATCACGGTTGAATGGAGCTGTAGTTCAAGGGATGATCAAAGTTATGCCCGATAAAAACCGGCCTATTTCAGCGTAAGTCGTATAGGAGTAAAATATGCTGCATGATGTGTTCTTATTGTGGTTCCTTCGATGTATGACGTCGAAACTACCATGGCTCAGCCTACCATACTCTTACCAGATGCATATGTATGCTAATACCAGGTATTGCCGTGCCATTTCATACGTCCAGCCCCTATGAAGCTGTCCAGCAGCTACCCATTACCGATCAGCCCACCTAATAGATGGCCTGTAGGAACTGACCGCTGCTGTCAACCCTCTGGGTCTGAGAGCATCACCTGACGACTCTGCAGCGTCCGAACGGTAACCGGTGACCTGTGTGGTCAGCCGGCACCGTTACCGAGCCGCCCCCACCGCCAGCCGCCCGGTAAGCAGGTCAGGTCACCGCTGCACTGGCGGGGGTTACCCGCCCGAGAGGCAGCTCTGCAGGCGGCCAGATCACGAGAGGTGACGGCAGTCTCGGCCGTGGTCAGCATGCGGCCGGCGGTGCAGCTTCTGGCCGCTTTGGCCACCTGTTTGGGAGTTGTGGGGGCCTCCACCCTGTCAAAGGTTCCAGTGGCTACTGGGAAGGGGCTGGATGATGGGGACAGCTTGGCAGCGGAACAGCAGGTAAGGGTAAAGGGTTAAAGGCGGGCTGAGTCGGATAAGCCCCGGGAAGGTAGCTCTGCTAGTGTAATTATCTGATGTTTATAAATGCAGTTTGATGATGAATAGGAGAAGAATACAGAACACAGGTGAAAGCAATAAACAACTTTGAGCTCAATAGTAGGTAGTAGCATATATGTGCGTTGTGTAATTTGCATGGTCACCGATAGGCAGTCACGCTCTAAAGTGAACATCCCACTTTAACATTAGTTTTGACTTGAAATAGCCAAAATGGGGTCCCTGGCTTGCACTTACCGGTTTGAACATTCACAACATCGAGAAATGCCTCAACGCGAAAATATCTAATTTCAAAGTAGCCGCACTTTGGATTCAGAGGGGCTAATGCATTGGAATGCCCCCTTTGAATGTGTGACGTCAGCGCGCATCTAACGATTTTAAATCTTTTACTAAAACGTTTGGTAGCACGCGGTGGTATATCACATACCGGGGTTACATGAGCAAGTAAATGCGTATCAGGAACGGATTTTCCTATTCGCTCACCATTGTAGTCCGTTTGTAATGCGTATTAACTCTGCTCATGTAACCCCGAGAGTGTGGTATATGCTGCTTTGCGCGCAACAAGTGCCGCACTTTCAGCTGCAAAACTATTGCTTCCAAATAAAGTCGCTAGGAACAGCGGAGATCCCAAACAGTAAACAAAAGTAAAAGTCTTATGTAGATTGAAAACCGGTGAATATTTTTCGGTGAAATTTGGTAGATATTCGTTTTCGCTCTTTCTGAACCGAGCGACATCAATTTCATGTCAATTCATTGACTTTTTGAAGGTGGGAGGGTTCCTTTAAGGAAATGACCTAGCGGACATCGGGCGTAAAGTTATCATTTGATTAAGCAATAAGTGTGTTATCGTGTACCTGAGACGGGAGAACTCTGAAGCTCACATCGTTAGGCGTACAGCAAGGTTACGAGATATCTTTAAAAAAAAATATTTATTGCCAACTTCTTTACTTAGGAACGAATTGTTTGCTGAATTATTCAATGACTGAGATATATAGCTGTCGGTCAGAGATATTTACCCCGTTTACATGAGTCAGCGAAAGTTCCGTTTAGAAAGGATTTTTTCGCTTAGCGAAAAGTGCGCGACTTTCGACTCATGTAAAGTGGTTAGCGCGGGCTAAGATTACGTGGAACGCAAATATCCGATGAATTAATTAATGTGATCTGTCCGTTTAGAACGTCATGTCCAAACGTATTTATTGTTGTGCGACGTATGCCTATTGGTGAAGTTGGCTGAAAGTGGTCTGGGTAGAGTTTTACACTCGACTGTTAGTTAAAATGCTGATTCATTTCACATTTTTATATCTTTAAAAAATTTCAAACTCTTCAATAAGCACTCTGTAAAAAAATCGTTATTTACCAAGAAAAGCTTTCAAATAATATTCGAGTGGCAGCTGTTAATTCGTAAATAACTCAAACTTCTACTGTTGCATCTTGCACTGTAAAAATACTTGTTTTCATTTTTCGATAGTAGATAACTGTAGCCAAAAAGGGCGTTCGTGACTAGGTCACTTCTTGCAAAGTTCGGTTATACCATGAGCTCCCGGAAAAGACGAAAATTTTGCTACTTCACTTCGGCCTTTTTTGCAAACGGTGGACAATAGTTGCAAGCGACTGGTACCCCTTAGCTGGATAATCCGATTGGTTTTTCTTTTCTTTATTGAGCTATCACTACAATGTGTCGAGTGTCGAAAAACGTAAAATGCCAGTGTGCATGTATGTCTCGTTTGTGCGTCAAGCTGTATGGAATTAGCGTGCCATATAACTAACTTAACATTGCGCACCTTAGCCCAAATAACTATGCTTCAAAAGCACATCATGGTGACAAATGTCATACAGCACATTCACCGAATGTGACGATTAATTCTCGAGTACCTACCTACCCGAGCAAACTCAATGCCCCTGTTCGAGCCTTGGTACCCTGATGTTCACCGCCACCTCACGGATACGCGGGGTCACGCTGAGTCTACAGAAGGCACAGCATATGCATCTGGGGCTGGAGGAGGGTCACGGACTCCCTGACCGCGTTTACGTAACAAGGGACAGTTGTGTTGTGCTCTTTGACATCAACAGTCGCTGGATGCTCTGAACAGTTTGCACGTCATTGTCATCTCCGTTCAACTTGTGTTCCACATGAACCTGTTGTCGAGCTTTCTGTATACGACGGACCTGTCGAAAACAGTGATATTAGCATTGAGGGACGTCATGCGACATGACCCCGACAGAAATCACGGGACGGACGGTTGACGCGGAGGCATATGCCATGTCATGTACCCCGTTTGTCCGTGTCCACAGACGAGAGCTGATGTTCCGGAGTACGTCCGACCCACGACCGTTGTGGAGCTGGCCGCTGTGCCGCCGGTCCTCCCACCACCCAGCTCACCCAGCGCCCCGACCGCTGCCTCGCGAGTCGCTCGTATCTTCCTCCCGCGCAGACAGTTCACCAAGACCTGCGTGGCAATAACAGCCGGGTCAGATGACAACAGCGAGGCACTTGCTCAGATCCTGGAGGCCATCAACAGCAGCAAGGACATGTTGACCGCCGGCCAGGCCGCGATCCTTCAGGCGATCGCCGGAGTGAGCACCGGTGGAGGCACGGGCACGTGCGACCTCTCCGGGCTGGAGGAGGGCCAAACGACGATTATGAACCAGCTAACCACCATCTCAATGGATCTAGAACAGCTGGATGATATTCAAGCTCTCATTGAAAGTGCTAAGAGTATGATCCTTGCCGGACAGACAGCACTTGCCACTAGCATCAGCGACCTGGGTGATGATATAGACATGGCAAAGACAGATATCTTAGCTGGACAGAGCACAATCATTACCGACATAGCCGGCGTGGCGACCGATATCGACATGGCCAAGACCATGCTGCTCAACGGACAAACCACCATCACCACCGACATTGCGACTCTCTCAACGGACCTCGGCATTGCCAAACAAATGATACTGGATGCCATCGACGCCCTTTCTACAGACATCGATAACATATCAACTCTGATCGACTCGCTAAAGACGATGGTCCTGGAAGGCCAGGATGCCATCAACAATAACATTGAAAACCTGTCCACTCAGATCACGACCCTGCAGACGACGCTGGAGTCGGAGCTGACTGACATCGACAACCAGCTGGACGCCTTGGAGGCGGGCCAGCAGGAAATCTGCGACAAGATCGAGGCACTCGACGCCAAGCTCGACACCATCATCGCCAAGCTGATGGAAGGCAGCATGGATATGTGCGATGATGGCTCTGAGCCAATCAACGGACAGTGCTTCTTCCTATCGCCGCAGGCAGAAAACTTTGATGACGCCCGGGCTGCCTGTGAGGCCCAGGGAGGTACCCTGGCCACCATGACCGCCGACAACGCGGCGGCTCTGTACGCCCTGGCTGACATGGCGTCCAACGACAAAGTATGGATCGGTCTGACTGCCGAGAGCGGCGCCTGGGAGTGGGAGGACGGCACGGACTACCCCAGCGGCTACATGGACTGGGACGGGGGCACCGAGCCCAGTCCAGCCTCGATGCGCTGTGGAGAGGCAGAGGCTACCTCCAGCTCAGACGGATTCTGGAACGATATCACTTGCAACGCCCAGCGGCAGTTTATCTGTTCTACCACTCCCTGAGGTCAGCAGGTCAGCACTCGTTACGGGCACAGTGACGTCTTCAGCCCGACATGTTAAAAGCACTGAGCTGATGGCTGCCATGTCGCTTTTCTACAGGGTGACACAAAAAAAGGTCATCACCAAATTTCGAATAACTTCGGAAGTTTTATTCAGATCATCACCAAACTTCGGCCCCTTAAGGTCACACCTATGTAGCATACATCCACCAAGTTTCAAGTCTTCACTACGAATACTTTTAGTACAGTGTGTGTTTTACTGACGATCCACAATGTGCTCCAGGTGAGCGCCACGGCGCTGCAGGGCGTAGGCACACTTGCATCCGGCGGGCAAAGTTGTCGATAACCCGATGGCTGTGCACTTTACAGAGTGCAATGGCCTCTGGAGACAGTGCTCAGGGGGTGTGCTACCCCTGAAACGTTATTATTATCGGGTTATCGACAACTTTGCCCGCCGGATGCAGGTGTGCCTACGCCCTGCAGCGCCGGGGCGCTCACCTGGAGCACATTGTGGAGCGTCCGTAAAACACACACTGTACTAAAAGTATTCGTAGTGAAGACTTGAAACTTGGTGGATGTCTGCTACATAGGTGTGACCTTAAGTGGCCGAAGTTTGGTGATGATCTGAATAAAACTTCCGAAGTTATTTGAATTTTGGTGATGACCGTTTTTTTGTGTCACCCGTGTCCCCTGTATGTCACCCTGTTTTGTGTGTATGTGTCAAAGGCGTGTGATAGTTGTGGTTTGATGACGTGTTAGCACGTCTGGTGATCGGTAGTATTTATTTACATTATGTCTGTAGTGACGTTGAAGTTTGTATGAGAATGAGGAATTGCATTATGAGACTCGCACAAGGGCGTGATGAGAATATTTTGGAAGGCTCTCTGTGTAAGAAACGCGCATTTGTGAGGGAATAAATTATTTATTGATTCGTTTGTATTATGTCAGTAATATTCAGTGATCTCGAACAGATAAGTGACAGCTAACAAAGTAAAGAAACTCAAGCGCAGAACAGAAACATTGCAATATAGCCAAGAAGTCTATATTATTTATGATTCAAAATTTCAAAGCAAAAACATTTTTTCACGGTAGTAAGAATAGTTCATCGTAGGAGAGCTTAGCATTAATACCCGCTGAGAAACGAGTTAAAGTAAATGGAGCTCAGTACCTATGTACATCAAGCTTCAATGCATGTAAAAAGGCGAATAACGTTCAAATAACGTATCATAAAATCTCGTCAACCAAAGAAACACTGATACCGGAGTGCACTCTTGCGAAAATCTTAATAGCTCACCGATCAATGATGATGCAGATTTCAGGCTCTTTAACCCGGCCGGGCCCGGGGGTAATCCCAACCACCGCAGCCCGGGGGGGGGCGTTTTTCGCCCCCCCCCCCTCCCTGTCTAACTCCGTAAATAAGGGAGCTACGGAAGCAAAAGGGATACCAAACGAAAGGTCCTCACGAGTGACGAGACGATTCTAAAGCACCTAAAATTTTTGACCCCAGGTCAATTTTCAAGGTCAGAGGTCAAGGTCAAAGGCAAAAACCGGCACACGTGTAGTGATCTCAAAGTAAGCGTTCTAGAGGACGGCAGGATGTATAAAACCGGCAAAATTGGGTGTCAAACAACAGAAGAGAATCTGAGTATTCCGTAAAAATGCTCAAAATTAAAGATCAAGGTCAAGCTCATGCTCAACATTGACCTCAAACATTGCACTTTTTCGTACATCTTGCGTGTTAATTTCCAATATGTTTTGAAATGTTTTGAGGCTTATCAGGTCCCTATTTGTGGTTCATCTTACGAAACAAGGCTGCTCAAAGGTCAAGGTCACAGAAGAGTATCCTTGCCAGAGGCCATTTCACTGATTCAAGCTTAGCTAGTAATAATAAATAAGACAATTTTGCCATCCGGTGGCTCTAAATGAAGGAAAAGAGGAAAATAGGTTCCAGATTCGTGATCAGCGGGTGCGAATGCATCATTAACGACCTTTCATGTGTCAAGGTCAACCAAAGGTCATTCGAGGTCACATGAGGTCAATATAAAAAAATCCGTAAAAATGCTCAAAATTAAAGATCAAGGTCAAGCTCATGCTCAACATTGACCTCAAACTTTGCACTTTTTCGTACATCTTGCGTGTTAATTTCCAATATGTTTTGAAATGTTTTGAGGCTATCAGGTCCCTATTTGTGGTTCATCTTACGAAACAAGGCTGCTCAAAGGTCAAGGTTACAGAAGAGTATCCTTGCCAGAGGCCATTTCACTGATTCAAGCTTAGCTAGTAATAATAAATAAGACAATTTTGCCATCCGGAGGCTCTAAATGAAGGATTAGAGGAAAATAGGTTCCAGATTCGTGATCAGCGGGTGCGAATGCATCATTAACGACCTTTCATGTGTCAAGGTCAACCAAAGGTCATTCGAGGTCACATGAGGTCAATATAAAACTTTACCTTTTCCAAACAAAATATATAGGTATCATTTGACGCTGCTTGACAAGGCAAATGCGATAGTACCACTGCCGTAGCTCTAGGGTCATTTTTATCGAAGTTATTTGCGAAAAACTAAAACCATATTTCGAGATCCTTGCCCTGACCTCTGACCTCAGGTCACCAAAATATTTTTTCTATTTTTCTCTAGGTCTAACGCTACACAAAGTGCTCGTAATTTGTCTTTATCTCTAAAACTCTATTTTTAGCAGCTATTTGAAGTTCGCGTCTGTGACGCCGAAGTTTGCCGTGCAGGGGTCTAGAAAAATCGACCCTGTAACGTCATCTAGGGGGCTAGGCCCACATTTTTTACTTCAGAAGATGTCAAATTGATGGGAGAAAAGCTACTGAAAGTTTCGCTTTCTTATTCTTAAGCGTTCAGGAGCTATCACAAATATTCGCCAAGGGGGGGGGGGCGAAAAACGCCCCCGGGCCCGCGAGGGTTAATTAGTCTAAGTGCCATTATAATTACTTTACTTTTGCACCTAGTTGATTCAAATATCGGCTTGTACCATGCCTTTCTTCATGAAGTAGGACACCACTACATAACACAATATTAGTAGTAGTAGTAGTAGTTTATTGACACAGTCTTAGGTACTAGATGGATAAAACCCAGAAGACAAGTGTCCATTAAAACAGATCATATACAAAACATATTAAAACCGTCAAACATTTCATACAGAGAACCAGCGTCAATTAAAACTATACCTAAACACCACGTTAAAATCCGTCGCGTCATACGTTCTCACATGCCAGCAAAACTCTCTGAGAGTATATGGCCAAATCATTTGGACTACTTTTCATTAAGCTTGCCAAACTATCAAAGCTCAGCATTGTAAAATTTCTCCTAAGTGGCTCAGTGATTGGGCAGTCCAAAAGCACATGCGCCTCTGTTTGCACACCGAGCCGACAGGAGCATAGCCTCTCTTCTGTTGGGATTCTAGCCCACCTCCCTGTTTCTATCCTAAGGCGGTGTGAGCATAGCCTTAGTCGTGTAAATGCTGTACGAGCCCGTTCTGAAACATTGTTAGTATAAATCGGGTGAACCGTAAAATCATTATTAAAATCGATGTATGTTTTTCTCCTGGAAGATTCAGACCCTGTTATTTTCATGTGTATGTTTTAAAGGCTCCGCTCGCGAATGGACCCTGGTGTTTCTCTCATAATATTACCGATATATGAGCTCGCGGCTGTGTTTGCCTGCCTGTTCAGTTGCATGGCAAAGTGAGCTGGGCTGCCCACAAAATCAGATCGGCTTGTGAGCTTCCTCAGAAAGGAAATTTGAATTTCCTGGACCACTGCTTTGCCGTCTGGGGAAGCTAACTCTGCATGTACTAAGTCGTTGCAGGTTTGGCTTCTTACAGATAATAATTGCTTTTGAGCCGTTAATATTGGGGAGATCACTGCTTGGAGGTTGTTGCACAACCAGCTCTCGCAGCCATACAAAACTGTGCTGCTCAAAGCACTCTCAAAAACTAATTTCTTTACTGAAAACGGAGCTTCACTGTTTTTCTTTAAAAAGGAACCGAACTTGATCAAGTGACTCCGTTTCATGTCTATGTTTGTTTTCACTTGATCAGACAATCGGGCATTCATTATTTGAGAGCCTAAATACACGTACTTTTCCACATGTCCTATAACAATGTGATCGTTATAAAACGGAACATCATCGTTGCTATTTACTGTCATAAACTTTGATTTTTCGGGATGAATCTCCATATCGATATTCTTCGCTGCCCGAATCAAAAGCGATAGTTTTTTGTCTAAAGCTTTTCTGGACGTTGCTAGGACGACTGTGTCGTCCATGAATAATAGACAATGCAGGTTTTTTAAATACGTGTCGTTACCAAATTCTTTCAAAGCCCTGATGGTGCTGTTAATGTAAAAAGTAAACATAGAGCAGCTGTTTGCCGCTCTCTGTTTTACTCCCGTAGTTGATTTGAAGCAAACGTTTCCTAACACGTTCTTGGTGTCTGTTAAACTACTCGCAATAGCTCGGAGATACCTTTTGCCACAGCCGTGATCTACTAGTTTCTGAAGAAGGGTCTTTCGATTAACCTTGTCGTAGGCTTTTACATAGTCTATGTAGGCTATATACAGCACTTGCTTTGTTTTTCTTGCATATTCAATAAGTAGCCGTAGTGTAAACAACTGTTCAGCACAGCCCTTACCTACACAGCCTCCCGCTTGTTCATCATCAGGTCTGAACCAGCTATTGAATCGGCTGTTAAGTACACTTTCATAAATTTTTACTAGAGCCCCTTGTATGCTAATACCACGGTAATTATTTGTATCACTCGGGCTGCCTTTTTTAAAAATCATAAAAATCTTTGCATATGACCATTGATCGGGGTATTCACCTGAGAAAACTAAATTGAACAAAACCGTTAAAATATCCAACCATTCGCTTGATAGGAGTTTGAAAATCCCCGGAGGTACACCATCGATTCCTGCTGCTTTATTTCTATGCAATTTTCTAATCGCTGCATTGACCTCGGCCGGTGTGATTGGGTCGTCCAGAACGGGCACGTACATATCTGAATTCGGAATTTCCATGTCAGTATACCCGGTGGGTGGGTTCAGTAGCTTCTCGAAATGTTGTCGAAAATCTTCATCGCTTGGTTTGTTCCTTTGGTCTCCTTTATACTCGAAATCTCCTTTCCAGTTAATTGAGGACCAAATTAACTTTGGATCATTTTTAGCGACTAATACCTGCCACCGCGCATGTGCATCGCTAATGGCTGTTGCTGGAGCACGATCGTCCACATGATTAGTCTGCCCCGCACGTTTACAAGCGTTGTACAGTACCTCGCTGAGTCTACTTACTCAGTTCGCTAGCTGGGTTGTCCCCGCCAGCCAGCCCCGCTCCGTTCTGGTTCCACCAGGAAACCGGGTCCGGTATTACATGAGACTGTCCCGGTCCAAAATAGCCATATGTGATGAAGTAGAGATGGGCAATAAAAAGAACGCTGTAATCCCTTATTCACGGATGCGCCAGATGCTGCCTACATAATGTGGCACCTTTTGTGCACACGGCCTGCCTTGCTCATGTATCATGGGATCTTGATGCATAAATTTCCGAAGGAGCTCGACAACTGTACTGACTCCAGGATGTCATGTAAAAACACCTGATCAAATGATTAAAATTGACACAGATGAGCCAACGTACGTTTGTGACGCAATTCGATGAAGAAAAAGAGGCTGTCACTAAAAAAATGTTGCTCATTCTACTGCAAAAAGAAAGGTGTACCATCAAACAATTACGAACCCAAGAAAATAGAAAATAAATGAAATAAACTCCTACAATTTCTTGCCTAGGTAGTAGGTAGGTACACTGTGCGCAGTATCATTGATAAACTCCACTCACGCTAAAACCCTTCTGCAGTTACACAGCCGAGCCATTTTTCACGAGCCCAATGGCATGGTAATCGGTGCAGCTCGCTGTTTCCACTGTGCCGGTTAGGTCGATTGGGTCGTGCGGGTCGCCTCAGGATGGAAGTGTCCGCCGGGGGGTCCGGTGAGCTGCAGCAGGACCAGTCACGGTCAGACGGTCAAGTCTGGTGTCAGTTGCTCGGTGTCCGTGTGTCAGCTGTTTGGTGTCAGGTGTCAGATGTCGGCTGTCAGCTGCGTCAGGTGCCAGCTGTTCGGTCATCGGTGTCAATGTGTCAGCTGTTCGGTGTCAGTGTGTTAGCTGCCAGCTGTTGGGTATCAGTGTGTTAGCTGTTTGGTGTCAGGTGTCAGCTGTTGGGTGTCAGTGTGCTAGCTGTTTGGTGTCAGAGTGTCAGCTGTTGTGTGTCAAGTGTGCCAGGTGCCAGTTGCTGGGTGTCAATATGTTCGGTGTCAGGTGTCAGCTGCTTGGTGTCAGGGTGTCAGGTGCCAGCTGCTGGGTGTCAGTGTGCAGGTAAGTTTTAGCATTCTGATTAGATGTGACGATCTTTTTCAAAGGCGTTGGATGGACACTACTCAGTAGTCATGCTCGTTATTACTTTTTTAACCCGCGCCCTGCTGGGGGGTGTTTGAACACGCCCCTTGTGGTTTTTCGCGAATATCTCAAAAACGGCGGCGCGGAGCGCCGCCGTTTTTGGTACACCTTATCATACATCAATTCTACACATGTTGTGAAAATTTCAGACCAAGGTCATTCAAGGTCAGGTCACCAGGTCACTTTAAGTGACCTCACCTCATAAAAAGTTTCAATGTCTGCCATAGCTACACCGAGTGACCGATCGCTTTGAAACTTTTAGCGATTGCTAAGAGCAATAGCATGTACAAAATGTTTATCTCAGAATTTTGATATCAATGACCTAAGGTCAGGTCAATTTTGCGACCTCCCCATTATAAGTCAATGGGAGAAAATTGAAATGCGCCTCTTTTGGACAAATGACATTATAAACACTCCCAAACACTGAATTACAAGTGGTTTAGACACAATGAACATGAAAATGGTGTCTGTGACCCCTGTTTATGCCTCTGAGGTCATCTTAGGTCACGAATGGCATCTAACAGTTTTTCGCAAATAACTTTTGATAGAGGCATGCTAGAGCGATGAAAACGCCTTAGATGTATTCAGCTCGACGATACGGATCGACTGATATGCAACATGACCCTTTCCGGTCAGGTCATGACCTTGACCTGAGGTCAAATTTTCAAGTTGACCTTTCAAGGTCAAGTTATAGTTCATTCGATGCGTCTTGACGAGAGGAACACGATGCCGGTAAAAGTAAGCTCGTAAAAGGCTTGGGTCAAAAGTTATTGCAGAAAAACTGTTTCCGAAAAAATCGGCTATTTTTGCAGTTTTTGCCCCCTGCAGGCAAAACCGTTGACGTTAGGTCAAATCTGAGGGAATTACCCAGAAAGGGCGTTAATAGGGCTATCGAATGCGCTTTTCCGCGGCGCTGTAGCTCTATTGGTTCCCGAGTTATGCGTTGGCTTCTTGAAAATTGTCGACATTCGACCTGGAAATCGGCAAAATTTTGCCTTCAATGACCTCTGGTGACCTGACCTTTGACCTGACCAAAAAATTGACCGAAGTGATTTCGTCATTATTTTTGGCGCTCTTTCGAACGCCGCCTTCCGGGTATCGCTACGTGGCCCAAGAGCCGAGTTAGCAGGGGGGTGTTCAGACACCCCCCCCCCCCCCAGCAGGGCGTGGAAATCCAGGACCCCCAGCCGGGCGCGGGTTAACTGTTAGATTAAGCCTGTCAGATAAACTTCTCAACCCGTAACATACAAAACAAAAGTTTTGCTCGATAATAAACAGAAGACGCAAAGCTCTCGTGTGAGAGGTTCGGCACTTAACAACACGCTAAATTCAGTGCCTACATCATCTCGGGACGGGTTGAGCTGGTGGTCGTGGTTTGTAGCAGCCGCGTGCCCATCTTTCTGATAATCGCGGCTGCGAGCTCCAGGCCGCGCCGCTGAGGCCACCTTTGCACATTTACAGCGCCATACATCGGCCTCTGGCTCCGTGTATTGAGACCCGTGCACCGTGCAGCACTATCTGACCGAATAAGCACCGGGAGAGGCAGCAGAGAGCTCGCCCCGGCCGGCGGGCGGTAGCGGATACCGCCGCTGACCTTTGTAATAAAGATGCCCACAAATGGTAATTTTGTGGTAACGCCTGCCGCAGGCTGATCTAGGAGGCGTTCCAAGTGACTTTCTCGGGTCCGATGTAGGTTATGGGACCTTCTAGGCATCCTAGGAGGATGTTGCGGGGATATTTGCAACACGCTTGTCGAGCAGCAATGGTTGGAATGCACAGGAAGTAATGTTTCACAGCAATGCAAAAGGAATGCGCTATTGAGCAATCCACACTCCCTCCGTTTCCACGTGGTGTTATACACGATATCACATGACTTGTGACAGAATGGAAGAGAAGTTTGTCGGAATCAGTGGATTAAAATAATCATTTTTTCTTTTCTAGAATATGTATTTAGGTACATTAATTTATCAACCAATTCAAAAAATAATATGTGTTATGGAATAAAACGTTAAGCATACTTGAACTCAAAACCAGATGGTGAACAAGAAGGTTCAGCTCACAACTGACATAATTCGACCTGTAGACAAAGACACAATCACATGTGAGTTTAGGACCCATTGAATTATGAATTCCTGAGAACCACATACTGTCACACAAATGAGTATCCGGGTGCTAGACATGCACATAAGGAATACACTTTTATATTGTCTCTATAGATATAGGCGCATCTGAGACTGCATTTCCTCAGCGGAGGGGTTTCCAAACTTGTCACTGTTTTTCTGCATCAAATCCAATATGGCCGCCATCTGCTCAGACTCCGCTCTGTAAATGAGGAGAATTACACACGTCAGTTCTTATTTTCACGTCAGCAACTAGGGATATTGTCAGATAAATTCAAATTTAATCATCGCAATCGCCGAAGAGTGCGAAATGCTTGAGCTTACCAGTTCCCTTCCCAGTATTCATGATTACGGCGATTAGGCACGGGTCCAGCACACAGCTTCACTCCCATCCCCCCCTTCACTCCCGCTCCTTTCTTTTCTGTTCTTCCGTCATATCTTGCTTCCCTCTCTCTCTCTCTCTCTCTCTCTCTCTCTCTCTCTCTCTCTCTCTCTCTCTCTCTCTCTCTCTCTCTCTCTCTCTCTCTCTCTCTCTCTCTCTCTCCTTCCCTCCTCCCCCCTCCCCTCCCACTCACTGCCTCTCCTCCCGTTTCTGCTCCTCCGTCATATCCTGCTCCAGGCGCCGCCTCATCGCCTCCCGCTCTGCCCGCTTCAGTCGGCCGGGCGGCAGCGGCTGTGTCGTGTCCACCAGCACCGTCAGCGGCTCATCGTCCGAGTCCTGACGTCGGCGGCGCTCGTCCAGGACGGAGTGGTCGTCAGGGGAAGGGGTGGTGGTGGAACTGGCCTCCTGGACCTCCTGGAAAGGGCAGTGAGGGCTGACAGGGGGCGAAGGGAGGGTAGCCCTCTGATCTTTTATTATTTCATGTCATGGCTAGATTGATGGGTCGAAGGATTGAATTTACCCTCCATATAACTATCTTATAGGTCCCGATTTTCCCGACTTTTGGGTCATTGACCTGACCTGGAAGGTCATCCGATGACCTAGGACCTTAAAATTGGGTATCATCGGCTTCCTCTCGTCACAGGCAACACGCTCTTTTTTCCGCGACGCTTGAACTCGATCAGGGGCCAAACGCGAGGGGGAGGGGTCGTACCAACCCCCCACCCTTCCGTCGAAGGACGCAAGATGGCCTGTGCCGGCAAGGGTTAAATACTCTGTAGTTACTAACCGTTTCTGACGGCGTGTTCGGCCGGACGCGGACTGTAGCGGACCTGGCGCACCAGACGGCAGTGTAGAGCCAGCCGAGCAGGACCGTGGCCACGGTAAGAACGACCGTCATCAGAAGGTACCACCTGAGAAATTATAGGGGCAAGGGGACGTTTGGGGTCACCTGAGGGACCACAGGGGAACGTAAGGAGACTGAGGGGCAACAGGGGAACGTAAGGAGACTGAGGAGCAATAGAGGAATGTCAGAGACTGAAGGACCTACAGGGCAATGATAGAAAGCCGATGGGCAGCAAGGGAAACGTTAGGGGACTGAGGGACTTAAAAGAAAGCGACATGGGAGTGAGCGGCTGTAGGAGGTCGCAGTAGCGGCGGAACACCTTCAATTAAAGGGACTATCCCACCTTTAACATGGGGTTTGAGTTGAGATAGCCAAGTTTGCGGCGAGGTTCAGAAACCACTATCTATCTAGGTTGCAACCCCCGCGGCCTCTTGGTGTTGAAGAAATTCGTTCCCTTCATTTGAAAATGGGCCTTGTACAAGGCCCTATCTTCAACATGGAGCGACCGTTAGTGTGACGTCACCTCGTTTAGTCATTCTGATTTAAATGGGTTTGTTCGTTGAAAAATCGCTTAAAACTTGGTCTGAACTTTGTTGTGGTGCCTACAGAGTAAAAAGAATCAGCTTTATGACAGTAATGTGGCCTGGGGAAGGAGGTAATTTTGGGCTGTGACGTCACATATTTGAAACTTTGTGTTTGGAATATGGGAAGCCTAAGATGTTTAATGAAAAATAAATGCCAGAACCGTGTTCCTGGTCATCCAATCTATAAAGTCGGGCACAATTTAACTGGTTTTAACAACATTTTAGAAGGTGGGATAGTCCCTTTAAGGGGGGCACCGCCAACCTTTGGTCCCATTCTTTCCATGCACAGCCCATAGGGCTAATGTTAAAATGCCAAAATAAAATGCCTCCCCGTTCCGCCGCCTTTGGGAGGTCGTCAGGGACTTTGGGGCGACAAGGAATGTTAACCCGCGCATGACTGGGATATTTTCCATAACGCGAGTGACGGGGGGTCTCCAGAGCCCCCCCCCCCCTCCTATCTCCGAAACTACTGGGCCGATCGTCAAAATTCAAACGGCGTCTGATAGCCCTGGAAAAACTGTCGAGCAAAACCTATTTTCATTGACCTCGAGGTCACCGATGACGTCACAGGTCAGGTCAAAGTAAAAATTATCGACATTTTTGCTAGTTCACAATTTAGGCTCTGACCACCGGACGGCCGGTCCGATCAGGCTCATTTTTAGTTTACGCACTCCTTGACGGATGCCTTAGATACCCTGAGGGTAACGAACTTTTATTTCGAATTTTTAAGGTCAAGGCCAGGTCATCCTAGGTCACGAAAATTGTATATCATGTATCGATCACGTGACGCATGATTTATGGTCCATTTTACTCGTAGATTTAGAAAATAGTGTAGTCTGTGTCATTTGAGGTCATTGTCAGCTGAATTGCAGGTCACTTTCAGGTCAGAAAAGGTCAAATTTTGAAAATGAAATTTTTCAACAAAAAAGGTGCCTATCAGATGCAGTTTGAGCTCAGGAACACGATGGTGCCATTTATATTGCTGTACGACGTCAAAAAGATACTGAAAAATGGATTTGAAAAAAAAAAAACATAAAATTGTAAAAATTTTGACAATAATGCGAATGACTTGGCTATTTTTGAAGATATTGGGCTAAAACTTGCAAATGTAGTTCATCAGTGTGTTTTCTATCACATATATTCCGGTTTTTGCGAAAAGTCAAAAACTTTTTGAAAAAAAATACATTTTTGTAATTGTAAACACATATTTTTCAAAATTTTCAAAACATCGAAAATTCGAGATAGCAGTTTGATATCTACGTGTATTTGTAGTCCACTCATGCAAAGAAAATGGATATAGCTTTAAAACCGAGCTCTTGAGAGCGTTTGCCGTAATTCAGTATTTTGCATGAAAATCGGCCGACATGACGTCACTCTGACGTCATTTCCGGTCAAACTATGGTAGCTAGAAAGTTGAAATTTTGACACAAGGTGTCAAATTGATGCCTTTAAAGCTGCCGCAAGTTTCGTGTTGATCCGTCAAACGGTCTAGAAGATATTGCTGAAACACGGGAGGGGGCTCTGTACAGCCCCCCCCCCCCACAGTCATGCGCGGGTTAAAGGGCTGAGTGACTTCAATGGAACGTCGAAGCATTCCCGAGGGACCAACCACTGCGCATGTCAGGGCCACCAGCGAGGGAACGGGGAGGCTGGGGCTGCTACAGAGATTAGAGTCCCACTAGTAGCAGAGCATGATCGCATGACGCGTTTTGATCGCATGACACTATCAGAGTCTACACAACAAAAACTTCGTTGAACTCCGTGCAAAACGGTCAGTAAAAAGATTCATTCTCCTCCGTATGGCATGAACGACCTACTTTACCGGGTGTTCACTAAAAAATGGGACAAACTTGTTTCGTGTGTATTTCGTGAAAAAATCACGCCAGTGAAACAAGTTCAGCACCACTACATTATCCTTCTTCTCCTCTTTCGAACTCTACAGCTCTCGAAGGCCTGTGTTCCCCTTGTCTGCCACAAAGCGGATCTTTGTCCGCGTGCGCCTCCATAGCTTTTGGCACGTGTCTGCCGTAATGGCAGCCATTTGGCGGCGGATTGGCTTGGTCAGCTGCTTCTTGGTCTCTGCTTCATAACCACCAGCGTACACACGTGACTTCAGGAGAGCCCAAAGTCGTTCGATGGGGCGGATCTGTGGTGCCGCTGGTGGGTTATCCTCCTTAGCCACAACAGGTATTTTCAGCTCTTCGAGGGTGGCAAGGACGTCCTTCTGGTAGTGCGCCGGAGCGAGATCTGGCCAGAAAATAACCTTTTTACCACGGTAGTTGGCATCTACAAACTCCTTGAGCCTCGGTAGGCACTGGGTGCGGTAGATGTAGGCGTTCATTGCACCACTCTCCATGATGAAGGGCTTGCTCAGCCCGTGTTCAGAAAAGGCCACCCAAACCATGACTTTTGGCGTGAACTTCTCCACTGTGGCGAACCGCACACCATCCCCGGCTCCAGATGCATCATCTGTATAAAATCCAACATTTCCCGGCTGACTGTGACCTTTCATATAGGGAAATATGACTCATCGTCCATGATAATTTGAGTTTTGTTGGTGGGCTTCATAGCGCTCCTTCGAAGCTTGCCACACCTGGTGGCAAGCTTTATTTTTTGGTCCTCTGTGGCCGCCGGAACACGCTTTCGGCGTCTGTAGCGTAACTTCGTCTTAGTGCTAAGTACTTTGCTGATGTAGCTGAGGCTTACACCAAACTTCCGTGCAGCCTTTCGCTGTGAGGCGCCGATATGTTCCTTCATGTACCTTTGTAGGTTTAAGATCTCTTTTGGGGTCATTTTTTTCGCCTTCCGACCACTTCCCGGCTTCCTGCTAAGGGAGTCCCCTGTATCAAGCTTTTCCATGACGCGATACAGTGTTGTTTTCGAAATTCCCATCTTTTGGAAGTGTTTGTATGTAAATGACTTCCCTTTGGACCAGTGCTCTTTATAAAAGGTGCCAATGAGCTCCCTTCGCTGTCTGCCTGTTAACCCGTCCATTTTGTCTGGGGGCTGATCAAAAATGAATTCAAGCGCGGCCATGTGTTAAAAATGTTGTATTTTCCACGTGCACTAAAATGCAGTGATCTATCCAGACGCACTTTCAACTGACAGCGCACAGAATATTGTCCCATTTTTTAGTGAACACCCTATATGATACGCTGGACAATATGCGGAAGTTGAAAGATAGCGAAGTTTAGGCTGTGTGAGTTTTATCAAGCAGGAAGTTTAGTCAGCATCTGACGAGTGAGAACGAGAGAGAGAGAGAGAGAGAGAGAGAGAGAAGAGAGAGAGAGAGAGAGAGAGAGAGAGAGAGAGAGAGAGAGAGAGTGAGAGAGAGAGGAGCTGCAGTGGTGAGCGAGGGGAGCTCAGGTCCAACTAAACGTTTCTTTTTCAACGTTATAGCCTTTTGAGCTTTCGAATAGCAAGGCAAGGTTCTAACAAAACAAACACCGACTTTACCCTACCCATGCACAGCGACAGCCGTCGTCTCACCAGCACCTAGTATTTTCCCAGACGAGAGACAGGAACACCTTCCAGGCCAGAGGCTCTTTGGCCAGCTCCAGCAGGGTCCAGAAGCTCTCCATCGAAGAGGTGGCGGCGACCATTGCTCACCGGTCTACTCTCACGGACCTTTGACTCTCACCACAATGTCTCTCACTAGTGCTCGTGCGCTCTGCGTTGACAGCTCCTTTACTGAGCTCTCTTTGAGTCAATAAAGAAATCTTTTGACAGATGGAATTGCCGGAGTGGATAAACGAATGGAATGAATACTGGATAGGTGGAAGCAATGACGTACTTTGTCGCTTGATTTCGGTAAAATGACAAAGACCCAAAGTGGTGTTCCAAATAAAACGAGCCTTATGTTGGAAACGCGAGCTACGAACAAACGCACGACGATAACAGCACCGCCGCACAAGTGTCCAAAATGTCACTCCTACTCCATCCTCTTCCAACTTGTCTCTGACCCGTCTGAGACATCGCTCACAGGTATCGAACGAATGAGCCCTCTTCTATGAACCGGGATTGGCTGACAGAGTGTCCCCTCTCCAACTTGGGCCAATAAGCGCCTAACAGATCCGGCGGGGCCCCGTGTATCGAATATTGACTGAGAGCAGGTATATGAGCTCGACATAATTGAGAGCGTCGATCGAGAGAAATAGGGAGCGTTATTGTGGGTATAATACGCATAGACTTAGCCGTGGAAGGGGAGAGAGGGTAGAATGCGTGTTGGCTGGAGAACACATAAAAATCGATTTAGGTATATATCGGCGATGGAGGACTCAGGTACAGTCCTCAGCAGACTGCGTGGTAGGTATTCTTTTTTTCAACAAAACCAGTAATAACTCAATGACTAATGTTGTCAGTTGGTCGGAACTCACTGAAAATAGAGGCGCCATGCTCTACTCCTTCGATTGGGTATATCACTAAGCAAAGTATATGCCTTGTGTGGCAACAAAATGCAAAAGTTTGTTTTGGGAGCAAATATAAACTTTTGGGTTTTGTTGCCAAACTGGGTGGCAAATGAATGCGATGGTAATGCCAATCTAAGGTGCGGAGTCTCGCGCATCTTGCTGTTATGATTTCCGAGCGACCGATGGCATAGTATCCGCGTTATTCTCGGATTTGTCGATGAAAGAATACCTACCACGCAGTTTGCAGAGGGCTGTACCTACCGATCCTGTGATGCCAAAGGCTCAAAAGCCGAAAAGCCCGGAGAATAGACAACTTGACGTCCCAAATATGAAAGTACTTTGTCCAGCCTCATATTGTATTAACCCCGCCCTGATGGGGGGGCCATTTTGGCCCTCCCCTGTGGTTTTTCTTAAATAGCGAGAAAACGACGGCGCGCAGCGCCGCCAAATTTTGGGTACCTTACTGGGCATCAATTTGACACCTTCACACAAAACTTCAAGTCACAGGTCACCTTAGGTCAGGAGTTATTGAGGTCAAACTGAGGTCATGTTCGAGTAAAAATGAGCAAAAAACATGACATCCTGAAACGCTCACCAATTCTACAGTTAACAAGCAATTTTAAAGTTCTTTATGTGGTTGTGTAGAGAAAAGACGGCGCTACAAAACTATGATCTCGGATTTTCGAAATTTTGGGATTTTGACCCCCAAAAATAAAAAAATGAATTTTTTAGAAAAACTAAAAAAAAATCCAAAAATTTTCGAATTTCGAAAAAAGCGGAATATTTGTGATAGTCCCTGCGCTCTTCGATATACATACCAAATTTGAGATCGATACCTCTTTTTTTAGTTAAGTTATAGCGAAAAAACTGTTAAAAATTGATGACGTCAAATTTTTGAACTCAATTTTTAGCAATTCTAGACCTCGTAACGCAAAACGGAGACCACCATTGAACTCCCCGTGACGAGCTGCATCGAATCGATACCCATTTTATGCAAAATATCAACTTTAAAATTTGACCTAATTTGACCTGACCTTGACATGACCTTGACCTGACCTTGACCAAAAACTGACCTAAGCTGGCCCTAAAGTCTGTCTGACCCACATAATCGCATTTGTCAAGTAAAATGGACCATAAAACATGTATCACACGACACTTTCATATTGTGACCCCCCCAGTGACCTGACCTCTGTGACCTGACCTGGTATCAGTGACCTCAAATAGCAAAATATGTGTTTGAAGAACATTTCCCCATCGATGATTTTCAATGAAATGCATTTCACTCGATTTTACAACGCATTTCTTGAAATGCCTGTAAACGGTGAAAATTCGACCTTTGACATGACCTGTGACGTCATCGGTTTGACCGAGGTCAATGAAATTGGGTCACAAGGTAGTTCCCCGTTGGGGCTATCCAACACCGTCTACCGCTTGTCGCTATGTTGCGTGGTTCTCGAGATCTGAGGGGGGGGGGCAAAATGCCCCCCCCCCATCAGACCGCGTTGCTCGGCAGACCCCATCTGGGCGCGGGTTAAGGAAGTATTTTGTCCGGTTACATTTTTAAATGACGAGACTCCTGGAATCGGCTGAGCGAATTTCGGGGGAAACTGGAAAATTGAAAGATGCTGAATTAAAGGCATCCGAAAGTTGAGTTAAGCATATGAAAATGATTGGATGGAAAAGGAAAATTAATATTTTGCTCATAACTAGGTTGGTAATAAAAATTAAAAATAATCAAAATTATGACTCATATACGCCCTGTTGTTCATTGTTCACTGTATGTTTTGTACCATCTTGTACGTATGACTCATTCAAGGCCAAGCCTGAAAAAATATTGGCTTTTTTTCTCATGTTCAACAGCTATGACCAAAACGTTATGATCCTTATAATGCTTGTACTTTTATTTCTTTTTATAACTGTTACTCTGTTAAACACAGTTTTCCAGTGATACAGACTCCATGTAATATGGTTTCTTACCTCACCAATATGCGTGACCTCAAATGAGGCTTTAAAAATGACTCCTGACGTCACGATCAGGTAGAATCGCCGGACGACCGTACCTTTTCAGCTTCCCGAAGTGGCCGCTAGAGGCGCTGCTCTCCAGTGCCGGCCGGGCGAGCTTGCCCTCAGGGCTGGTCTCCTCTCCTAGCCTTGGCTGCTCCACCGAGAGCCATCTCGGACGGGCAGGCGGCCGGCCGGCCGTTGACCTCAGAAATGGACCCGATGGTCGCTGGATGCTGCTCCGTGGTGCCGGGAAGAGGGAAGAGGGAGCAGTGGAGTGTCGACAACGGATAGGAGGTAGGACGGACGAAGGAGGCAGAGAGGGAGGCAGTGAGAAAAATAGTGAGATAAGTGTCGGCAAAAAGTGAGCGACAGGAGGGAATCCTTCTGGACCGCCATCGGCGGTATATACAGCACTCCGATCATGACAACACCAGCAGGTTAGTAGCTCGGCATACAAACAATATTAAACCGCTGCATAAGTGAAGGCATTGAAGGTGACCGATTGAATTGATATATTATTCATAAGCAAACAAACAGCATTGCTAGTTCGATGGTTATTGTTTTCGTGATTTTCACGTAACTTCGTATTTGCTTGATCAGTAGATCGCAGGGAAAATGGGCCGTGGTGAGCGTACCGTTTCAAACCACAGAAGCTAAAGCAAGGCATCATCTGTAAATGCTAATGGACACGACACAAAACACATCGGTCGTAGTGTGTTTACATGCAATTAACACTTAAAGTCGAAAGAAAAAGGTAAAGGAAGTGAAAAAGAGCATTTATTTGTGCCCGCCACCAACAAAACTAGGTACGCAATTCGTCGTGAATGCAGATATACCAACGCTTCACATTGGTTATATGTATACGAGGGGCGTTCAAAAAGTTCTCGGCCCAACCATGAAGGAGTTGGAATTTCAGCCTGCAACGCGGTATGTTCAATGATGTGTTATAGGGATGTCCACTTACGTAGCCATTAACCAATCTGCCCTGTGATTGGTTCAGGCTGCTAATTAATCGTAATATAGTTTGCCATTCCCGGTCAGAATGGGCGAGGCCCAGAAGAGAACAGTGATTTGGTTCATGCATTGCAGAAAAATGCACCAAACGTTATTCACGAAAAGCTAGTGCCAACACATGTTGAGGTTTGTCTTTCTTACAGTAGCGTCAAAAAGTGGGCATCTCTGTTCAATTTTGGTCAACAGATCATTAATGGTCACCCCCGCAGTGGCCAGCCATCAACAGCATTGACTCAAGAAAATATGAAAAATAAGCACTTCTTTGTAAAAAATGACAAATTTTCTGGTATGGAACAACGCAGCAGAAGCGGAGGTGTCTATCAGGTTCCTCAAAGTCATTCTTCAACAGTGTATTAATATATTTAAGATCTCTGCAAGATGCATCCCTCATTTGCTGACTCCAGAGGAAAGGCAAACTCGAAAGGAGGCGTAACGCGAAAATTTTGGCCCCTATATCGAAGATCCAAAAGAGTTCATTGAACTACTTGTTACCGTGGAGGGATTGTGGGTGTCACACGTTGACCCTAAGGGCGTGACCGAGTTGCACAAGTGAAAGCACACTGATTAAAGGCCACCAAATGTGTGCGACGTGTTTAAGTCAGTCGGCAAGGTGACAGTGGTTGCATTTTGGGATGCTGACGGGGCTCTGCTCGCTAACTTTCTAAAACAGAGGAGCACAACTGATGATGAATACTACACCTCCCTTCGATAATAGTTGCGAGCAGCAGATATCAAGGAGAGATTAGGGAAGCTGACTAAAAGTGTGCGCCTGATCCAGGACCACGCACCAGCACACATGAGCAGGGTGACGGTCAGCGAAGCAGTGAGCTGTGGCTTCGAAATAATGTCACAGCCACTTTTTTCTCCGTACCTTGCACCCTCTGGTTGCCATCTCTTCCCCAACATAAGGAAATTGCTTAGCAATGGCAACTTCACTGACAGCAAGGAGACAAAAGCAGCCGTCTTGGACGTGCCAGATGGGTCCAAAGCCCACTTGGCTATGGAGACCCTGGGGTCTCTCGCGAAGCGCTGCGCGAAATGTGTTTGTCTTAACGCTGGTTATTTGACTTAATGAACATTTTTGGTCTAATAAGTCGACGTCGTATCTCTGCTCCTTCATGGTCGGGCCGAGAACTTTTTGAACACCCCTCGTAGTAGCACCCTTCAATCTCAAAAGAACTTCAGGCTTTTTATTCAGCTCTAGTGGTAATCAACCCTCTCAGCCGTCTAAAAACTGCATGATAGTTTGCACCGATTTACACCACTGAAGGATCGGAATTGGTGAAATTTTGGATCGCGTTCGCCCTTCAGTTTTGTTGTCTGTTTTCTGTGGGGTACCTACATGGACTGCGTTTTTGCTCGATTGGGCAAGCCGTTTGGGTAGTCACGCGAATCGATGGAATATGATGAGAAAGGAGAGAGAGAGAGAGAGAGAGAGAGAGAGAGAGAGAGAGAGAGAGAGAGAGAGAGAGAGAGAGAGAGAGAGAGAGAGAGAGAGAGAGAGAGAGAGAGAGAGAGAGAGAGAGAGAGAGAGAGAGAGAGAGAGAGAGAGAGAGAGAGAGAGAGAGAGAGAGAGAGAGAGAGAGAGAGAGAGAGAGAGAGAGAGAGAGAGAGAGAGAGAGAGAGAGAGAGAGAGAGAGAGAGAGAGAGAGAGAGAGAGAGAGAGAGAGAGAGAGAGAGAGAGAGAGAGAGAGAGAGAGAGAGAGAGAGAGAGAGAAGCATCGTTTTGTGTCAATTAACCCGCGCCCCACTGGGGGGGCTATTTATAGCCCCCCTCCCGTTTTTCTGCAATAACTTCCAAACCGCTTGACGTATCGACGCCAAACTTTCAGTACCTTTGGCTGCATCAATTTGACACCTTGTGTCAAAATTTGAACTTCGTACCTACCATAGGTCGGCCGGAAATGACGTCAGAGTGATGTCATGTTCGGCCGATTTCGACGAAAAACATTGAACCACGGCAATCGCTCCCAAGAGCTCAGTTTTTAAGCTAGATCCGATTTCTTTGCATGAGAGGACTCAGAATAGACTGCGCTATCAAACTGCTATCTCGGATTTTCGAAATGTTGAAAATTTCGAAAATTTTATTTAATAAAATTCAAAATTTATATTTTTACATTTTTTTCATTTTTTTTTTTAACTTTTCGAAAAAAAAAACGGAATATATGTGATAGAACGCATTATTTTGACTAACTCTAGCAAGTTTTAGCTAAATATCTTCAAAAATGGCTAAGTTATACGCATTGTTGCAAAAAATTAACAATTATTAATTTTTAAAATCAATTTTTCAGCATGAATTTGACATCGTACGCCAATATAAATAGCACCATCGTGTTCCTGAGCTCAAACTGCATCCAATAGACACCTTATTTGTTGAAAAATTTTAACTTCAAAATTTGACCTTTTTTGACCTGAAAGTGACCTGACCTGAGCTAAATTTGACTCAAAATGACCTCGAATGACACAGACGACATCAAATTCGAAATCTCTGACCTAAATGGACCAAAAACATGTGTCACGTGACCGACGGATGATATAATATTTTCGTGACCTGTGATGACCTGACCTTGACCTGAAAATCAAAGTACAAGTTTGGTACCCTCAGAGTAACTAGAGCATCTGTTCACGAGTGTGTGAACCAAAAATGAGCCTGATCTGACTTGTAAGACGGCGGCCAGAGCCCAAAACGTGAAGAAGCCAAAATGCTAATAATTTTTACTTTGACCTGACCTGTGACGTCATCGGTGACCTCGAGGTCAATGAAATTAAGTTTCGCTCGACAGTTTTTTCCGGGGCTATCAGACGCCGTTTGAATTTTGACGATCGGCCCAGTAGTTTCGGAGTTAGGAGGGGGGGCTATGAATAGCCCCCCCCCCCCCCGTAGGGCGTGTTATACGCAGACCCCAGTGGGGCGCGGGTTAACGATCACGGCGTTGAATAGTTGGATAAATATGAATAAACGTCCATATATGTGTGCATTACGTTGCCCCACACCCGTAAGGTGTTTGCACGACTCTCGCATACATGTTGCATTAAATATGACATTGAAATGCTTCGGGGTAAAATTCCAATTAATCTCATTAAATAGCAAAACTTCTGGATCGACATCAGCGTATTTCTCATTGCAGATTTGCAACCACGCTGGAGTGTTTTTCTCGGCTATCGTGCGTTGTGTAATCGGTGGTCGTCCGGTGTTTTCCGCTAATTAGCAAGCATAGTTATTTGTCTGTTATTTATTTGCCGGCTTTATGTTTGTTTTCTCAGTGTCTACCCACGCCCGGGAGGCTCTGCTGGTTCTGGTTATAATGGCCTGCCTCGCATCAACAGGAGTTATCGGTAAGTGTATCCAGGTGCAGAGAACGCATTGCCCATCACCGATGGCGTACGATGTTTTATTTTGAGACTGATAATTCAATTTTTATTTCTGTAAGCAATACAGGACGGTGCCGCTATAAAATGTCAACATCGTTGCTCCCAAAACGACAGTGTATGAAGAAATCGGCGCCATTGTGCAAATTGATACCACATTTATGCATGGATGCAGCCGCATAGACTAGGAATTTCTTCCGAAACCATTAATCGTTTATCCTATCCCAGCTATAGATACTCACATAAGGTTCGAAATATTACCCAGTTAGCCCCATTTTCAAAAGCGATAAGTTTGGTTACTCATCCATTGGTTTTCAATGCATACAAAGGTGAACACGGCGCAGCCTCTCAACAATGACGACCCCGGTGCCCCTGACGTGACCCGACCGGTGCCATTCTCAGACAGCCAGTGGTGGCTCCCGCCCCGCGCCGACGACCCAGCGCTGGTGGCTCACGTGGCTGACCAGCTGATACCTCCGAGCCAGGAGCCGTACAACCTCCAATATCCCAACAGGCAGCTGTTTGGTCAGACGCACCAGGTCCGCTTCATCCAGGCCATCACCAAAAACAAGGTAAATTCACTGATAGGCCATCACAAAAAAAAACAAGGTAAACTCACTTATCATAGGCACTCATCAAAAACAAGGTAACGGCACTGACAGGACGTGAAACGAATAATAGTTTGAGCCGGCCGAGACCATTTGAAGTTGCAGTTGTATCTGCAAGTTACAGTCAGCAAATTGGATATTCGGTGTAATTTATAAATCTAGAGATCGTCAGTCTCTACTCTACCTTTTCCCTCAGAATCGTGATGAGGTATAAAACTCAGTAATGGTTGATGTGAAACTAACCAGTGGAGCTTTTTTATGTGAGCAATTTGGATGGATAATCTTGATACCACTATACAAGTTTACATCCTTCTTTATCTTTGCGCAGACGGGCGGCTTTTTCATCGAGACGGGCGCCTACGACGGTGAGCTGATGTCAAACTCACTAGAGCTGGAGCGCTCTCTCGGCTGGCGGGGTCTACTGATCGAGCCTGCCAGGGGGCTGTTCGCCACTATGATGACAAAACACCGCCGCTCGTGGGCGCTGCAGGCCTGCTGCAGTCAGACAGGAGCTCCCTTCCAGGCAAGGAGCGCGGCATCGTTGGGCATCGGTGCCTAGTGGGGATGGATATGAATCGCAAATAAGGCTCTAGCTATACTAAAATATAACGTCACATTTTTTTTTACTTTGCTAGAACGTCACATTTCACCGAACCTACATACATAAATTTATGCATACTCTTGTTTGACAGAAGACTTATAATGCATTAGACATACACTATTCGTTAGAATTGTGTTTTTCTATTTGCGAGATAATCATGCTGAATTGATAGTCTCTCCTAGGTAGGTGTATGCCGTTACATCCGTTGAACCGACATCTTACTCAGGTGTATGTGCTCTTTAGTCTTCACTGACCTGGACCGCTCCTCCTCCCCCAGGCGATGTTCCGAGACCAGGTCAAGTACGGTATCGCCTCCGTGGAGGACGGCTTCTCGGCCCAGAAAGTCTCCAATAATATCAAAAAGCACCTCCATCCGAACGAGGCCATCGTTCGATACCCGGTGGACTGCTACCCGCTCTACACGATATTGCTGGCCATGAACATAACCACAGTGGATTTCTTCAGCCTAGATGTGGAGGGGCAGGAGATGGGCGTCCTGGCCTATCTGCCCTGGGATAAGCTGAATATAAAGGTAAGACGAAAACAACGACGGATGTATAGCTATTGAAGGCATCTAAGACTTACGTGGTCTAGTGCAGAAAAATGGAGTTTCACGAGGACTTCAATACGCCCCCATGCTCTCATACCTCTCTCGAATCTCGCCTCATCATATCTCTCATATTACCTCAAAGTCAAGTACCCCATACCCCTGCTCTCCCATGCTAAAACCGTTCTCCTTTCCAGTTGGTGCTCGTCGAGTTCCACATGGGTCACTTCTGGAACCCGCATACCGACCAGATACGCTGGTTCATGGAGCAGCAGGGTTACCTGGCCTTCCACCTGACACAGGACTGGCTGTTCGTCAAGAGGGACTGTGAGTTCGCTCAGGAAGCGGACACTATCCTGAGGAGGGTGAAGCAGGAGTTGGCTGGTGTGATACCTGAGCCAGGGGACTATCTTCACCAGGCCTTCAGTCCGTTCAATGATTGAATTCGGGGGAGAGTTTAACCTCTGTGTTGGTGTGATATTATTGCAGCTAAGGGCTATGTTATGTTGTGCGATTCTTTTCAGGGATGTGCGTAAGCTACTAAATGAGTAAGTAAGTGAGCGCGAGAGTGAGCGAGACAGAGAAAGAGAGAAAAAGAGAAAGAGTAAGAGAAGGAGAGAAGGATGCACGCAGGCCAGGGAGAGAGGATGGGAAGGAAACAGGGCGAGGGAGGAACCGTTTATGTTACCACTGAAATCGCAACAGAACTGCAATTGAAATTGCAAAAGACTGACGCATATATTACCTGTTATGTTGGCATGGTTTGTCATTGTTAAAGAGGTGAATGAACGCTAAGCGCTTATACATACCTAGATGTGCCGGCTTTCACAACGCACATGTAGGTCTGGTGTTAACCAGCGACCGGAAGGCCTTCATGCAGCAGTGTTTCATCACTCGACCACTCCGTGCCAACCTATTTGTTAGGATGTTTTTTATTGCTTATACCCATGCTCTGATTTCTTAACTCTGGAGCTTGCATTGTTATCAGAGTAATCAGTAGTGCCATGCCATCCTGCAGATTGCAAGTCTGATGTAATTCGACATCTGCTTTAGCCGTTCTTCATTATGTTTGTTGCGCAAAATGGGTAGAAGCATTTTATTCGTTTTCGTGAACTTGTGTGGTGCGTAATGTTCTGAAATAGACTGAAGTTCATGACTGTGAAAATGCCTCCCGCGTCCTTCGCTTGCGTTAATGAAATCATACTAATGGAGCACTTACAGTGAAAACTCGTGCTATTGCTGGGTATGTTTATTTTGATATTTATGTATTTTCTTTATGTCAAAGCACCAATGCACAATAACGCGGTAGAACAAATCTCAAAACGGCACAGGCACATCGCACTGATTATTGTAAAACAAAGCGACAAAACATTTGGCACCCCTTCTGAGTCACTGCAGATGTACCATACCACACTGTAACATGAAAATGATATAAAGGTAATTCATGGTTTTTGTATCCCCTCTCGCGGCCACCATGTGTTTCTCATTAACATATCATAACAACGACCTCCGGAAGGACAAATAAAACAAACATCCTCCGGCACAAGTTAGCAGCAAATTGCTGAACAACGCATAACTCACGACGGGGGCGCGAGAGCACCAAAGAGATTCAGCTGACTCGGAGGCTGCTGTTTCAGCTGCTGGTCACCAATCGCCCGTCCAAAAGATTGCAGATCAAACGACTGATCAGAGATATTATTCTGTTCATCTGCTTCCTGCGCTTCCGCCAAAGGTAGCTGACCCGCCGGGATCTCAATCTCATCCACCGCTCTGACCTCGCCCAGTCTCTGACTGACTGGATTCTGAGACTGCTGGCCAATCTGCTGAACAGAGGACGATCGCTGGAGTATCAGCTGGTCGGAGGCGAGACTCTGAGAGGACTGACCGGTCAGAGGGAGCACGGAGGACGGAATTTCATTTACCAGTCGGGGCTCGCTGAGTCTCTGGCTGACCGGAGATTGCTGAAGACCGAACTGCTGGTCAGAGAATGACTCCTGTCTGATCTGCTGATCAAAGACAGGCTGCTGAACGAACTGCTGGTCGTTGAGGATGATACCCTGGCCCTGGTTCTCGGCCCAGAACAGCTCCGGGTGCTCGCGTCTCAGCTGGGCGTACTCGGGAATCTGAGCCGGCGCCACTGGCAGGTGGGCGGCCTGCGGCTGGAAGCCACCCTCGTCGGCCGTGTAGTCCACCCGGTAGGTGTTGCCGTCGTCTCCGATGTACGAGTAGCTCCCGCGCTTCGAGAGGGTTCCAGTTTCGGGTGCGGGGCCCGGCTGGGAGCGACCCACCTCGACAACCTGGAACGAGAGAAAGAAATGCAATAATGGACTGGCAGTGGAACGAGGCAATGGAAATGAAGTATTGGACTCATAGAAGCACATTTGCACCAGTTAAGCACATCTGAAACCGTACAAACCAATTTGTGCAAACGTTTACTAAGAATTTGCGAAAGATATTAAATATGCACTGCCCACGTCAAAAGAGGTGCCATATGTAGGTACTTACTACAGGGAATGTGAATGGATTTTGAGAACATCGTCTCGCTTACAATAGCATCCAAGCACTAACTCTTCCGTTCCGCTCTATATTCCAGTTTGGATCATATCAATTTCAGCATCGCTGCGCACGCCGAAGTTCCCGACTGTGCCATGTTCATTGAGGTCGTTACCCTCATGTCATTCCACATCTGTCCCTGAATGATCGCCATCCTTTCCAGACACACCCGCACACGGCGCATATCACTGATGATATCTATGTATGCTCATAAAACCAGATTACGAAGCGTAAACACGGTATTTACAGGCGCTAGGCATTGCGCCACGGTGCCCATGAGATCATGAAACGAGTTGCTAAACCTGTTTTCAGCTAGCTTATTTCGTTTCAGATGAGCAATTGCTTCAATTTTTGTGTAACAAGCTCGTAAATCAAGACTTTCGAAATCAAGCTAAACATAAAAGGCTAGAGAATTCCCTAAAGCTTTCACGCAAACGGATCTTACAGTTAAAAACATCAGCTAAAAAGCAAAACTTACCGTTTGACCGTTGTCCTGATCGTAGCTGTACTCGTAGTTTCCGACAATGTCCTGTACAAATTTCTGACTGAGAATCCGCGTCTGGGCATCACTGGAGCCGTAATTGGGCTGGATTCCTCCGCCCTGACCGAATCCGCTCTGGATGAAATCCTGCTGCTGGTCTGGTAGGAACTGAGGAGCAGCCAGCGCGCCCGCCACGCAGAATAGAACACGAATCTGTGGAAAGGGAAGGAAGTGTCGAGTCAGAGGTGATGTTTTGGAGAGAAAGAGAGAGAGAGAGAGAGAGAGAGAGAGAGAGAGAGAGAGAGAGAGAGAGGGAGAGAGAGGGAGAGAGAGAGAGAGAGAGAGAGGGATAGGGAGTGAGAAAACCATTTATATGCCTTAAAACCAATTACGCTACAATTATTATCGCATGACATTCTATTGGCCTGTTAATTAATCTATATGAGCCACTGATGTCGAAAAATAAATGATCACGATTTGATATTGTTATATCATATTGTCCCGATGTCCTCTGTCACCCTCAGGCCGCGACCTATAAGTGCACATAAGCTCCTTAAAGCGCCTTGAACTATCATCCAACCCTGCTGTGACTGCCGAGCAGACCGGTATTGGAGGAACGGTTCGAGACGCATCGGTGCTCGCCGTTTGAAGCTCTTTAACAAGATGTCATGCGTGCAGCAGTGGCGGTCACATTCAAGACCAGTTGGTCAGTGAGCGAGACGGGAAAGACCACTGGATCCGGAAGGCTCAGCGGTCGCCACGAAATACTGTCGTCTGCCTGGAATTTCCCGATAGGGCAATGCGAGCCAAGCGTGTGCAATATGGTCTACATAGCTGCAAACTAGACTCGTGATGTAAATGTTGATTTGGAATGAGAAATACAATCCTTTGCACATTTTGATCCACCAATTGAAACAGTCCAATCGATCCAATCGATACCTTTTCAACCAGTTTTCCCCATTCAGGTAATCATTTTTTACATAAACGGCTACTCAATAACCCGGTTTACATAGCATATTTGACGAGGCTCCAGCTCGTTAATTTGGCGATAATTTCGTTGCAGTGGTCTTCAAATATTTAGAGGGGATCATTTTGTAACTTGTTAAGCACCATTGTCATCTTTTGCAACATCACGGACGGAAATATAAGCTTGCAACAAACCCTATGTAAACGCGTCTATTGACGATAAAGAAAAAAATGAACCTACGATGTTCTTTTTTTTGTTACGGATGCAGTCGAAAACAACTTTTGTTTAGATGCCATTTACGCTCTTCAGTCTACCCAAACCTTATCACTCCAGCACAAACACACCAAAACCCATAGATATTCCACTCTGTAAGCGCATTGCGAGCTCGGCTCGTACTTACCACCTGTGGTGCGGCCATCTCTAAAGTCGTCCGAGCACTGTCGCAGTCTAATCCTTGGCGTCCCGCTATATACCAACTGAACCCGTCAGCGCAGTCGTGGTGTAACAATTAGCTTCTCCTCTGGCAGCGGTTGCCGCTCTTCCTGACTTTGTGACAACACTCTGCTCTCGGATACTCGTTACCGAGACAGATTATGGTGACGTAAATAGACTGATTGCCAGACGACCGGTCGGAGGGAAAGCAACAAGCTGTCACAAACTGCAAAGCCATGGATATTGCACATTAGTGAACCAATTAACTATTTTCCTAAGTCCTACTCAGAAAAGATTTTAGACTGTAATTCCTGCTTACTTGGCGCCATTAAAATGTTCCAATTACGATAATTACACTTCTTTGGTTATAGTAAAAAGGCATATGAACTAGCTTACATAATATATACCTACATAGCTACTGGCAATGACGTGCAGACTGTAGGCGGCAATTTTTGTTCCGACCCGTGTCATGATTTGACCAGTGTTTGTTATGACCTGAGTTGTGAACTGCCATGACTTATGACATACACCTGTTTTCTTTCAATATAAGAGCGTGATAATATATAATATCACACGGGGCCGGTAAAATGTTTCATTCAGGACCGAGGGATTTGTTGAGTTTTCCGCACGAGACCGAAGGTCGAGGGCGGAAAATTCAACAAAGCCCGAGGTCCTGAATGAAACATTCCGGCCCAAGTGTGATATTTATTTTAGCATATGCCGTTTAATTTCAATATTTAAGCTCCTTTAACAATTTTACATGCTTGAAAGAAGTGGAAAAACCAAGACCGAATATCAAGAACTAAAAATGTACATATTCCCTGACCAAGAAAATAAACCAAGCCGACTCAAGATCACTGTGTTCCATTCTTGTGTCTGGCTCTGAGTTGGATTCATATCAAACCAAGAACATCTACTTCAAAGTTCAACCTATGTCATATGAGAAGCCAGAGTAACATTCGTTTTCAATATTAGAGAAGAGTGGAAGGTATACCATCCTGTGAAGTGAACGCTTGGTTTTTTACCCATGTCAGTATGAATAAAGTTTTTACTGATCAATGTGAAATGCGTTTTTTGTCAATTCAGTGCAGTTGTAAAAGGCATGAAATTGACGCCATAAATGTAGGTGATTAATTAATATGTCTGTACAATAGGATTTGAAATATTATCTTATTGAAAACCAACATTTAGGTATAATCTGTTCAATAGTTCAAAGCGACCAAATGCAACACATAAGTTCACGTTAGATTTCTATCAGTTAAGCTCTTTTCCAGCGCCTTCCTCCGTCTCAGGAAATGCTTCAAAAGTTCGCTGATAAAATGTTTTGCCCATGGGCCGAAACCTTTGACCAATTGCCTTCAACATTATGCGGTTTAATCCAAAAAGCTTTTACCGCACGCTCGCGCTAATGCTAAAGGCATACTTCGGCATATGCTAAAAGTTCTTATCGTCTGCAAAGATTGCGGTTATGATTCACGATCACCAGATCATTTAAATCAGCATTCGATGTTTTATTACCACCGCAGTGAGAGGAAGCTGAAAGAACCGGTATCTTTCTCCCGGGTTAAGCTCGAGAGTAGGCTGGTAGGGTTATTCGATTGATCGATGATTAAACTTCTATCAAATAACTTATCAAATTTGGCTTTCATTTATGTCAACAGAACGCCGGGCCGACCTATATGATACTGACATATGCAACACGTTTGTCCAGGCACAATTACTAGGTTAACCGGGAACTTGCTATTTGATTTCTTTTTTAAAGAATTTATTTAAGAGGCGAACAATTGTGAGATATTTCTTCAAATGGTAATCATGTGTGTAGTATTGTGAACCCGAAATCTGCTCATGACCATACACTTTTCATTCTTTTCTTTTCATGAATCCTCAGAAACTTATTACCTATTTTATTTTCCTGTTATGAAAATCTAACGATGAACTTTTATCTGATCGATATCGACTCCACGATCGATTAATGTCCAACCACTAGCTTCTATTCTAAAACTTACGAGCCTACAAACGCGCAGTTGGTCAACACCAACTCTCTCTCCCTCACCAAAACCGACTAACGAGATGACCATTGACCAAAGATACTTATGTCTGGAAGATAGTCTGGTGGGGGGTAATCAGTTTTTTTTCGGCAACTGAGAAACTAACTCGGGTTGCGTGCCGCTACTCAACTGTTTTGTGGTAACTGTTTTATAGGAAATCGCTGGCGAAGGCTTCTGCGTTGAAGTATATGATTTTTAGTAGGTGCAAGTTATGTTATAATTCGAGGTACAAGCAAGTTTTGAATTATTTATATCACAAGTAACAACTACGGTTTAACTGACTGACATTGTCTACATATACAGGAGTACTGAGCTCAGTCACTGAGGCGGTTTTACAATAAGTTAACGTATGTATATACCTAGGTACAATGATAATTGCCACGTCCTTATCATGGGAAATATACACGTAAATGCAAAAAAGATGCTTGCGTACAGGCGTATAAAATAGACAAACGCAAACAATTCACAGAAAACGTAAACATTCAAGCAGTTGCAGTTTAGTTTATGCCAATCGTGAAGGAAGTGTGTATCAAAAAAGACATCGTGTTGGTAATCCCAAAAAGGATATGTCGTTAAAAAATATGCAATGTAAATAATTGTTCACAAGTATCATACGCCAAAAATGCCTCGGGAGGGTCTTTTCCAACTTCCAATTTGTTTTACGTCAAATGAGACTTTTCTACCTTTCCTGTGGTAAAATAAATCTAGAAACTTAAAAGTGTATTTCTGTGCTGTTACGCGATCAATGGGCAATGCAAGACAAAAAAATATAATTCCTAGCATTGTGCGATGCTCCCACCTTTGACAACATGGAACCAAGGCGGACATGAATGGGAGGCATTATTGGTGAGTAGAAACTAGTTGCTTTATCAAGCTTTGCAAATAAAGGCTGAAATAGGCATTCTCTTTGCGTCTATTAATATCATTGGCAATTCACCGAGGCCAGGAAATGATTACAAAGAACTTCCCATATATTCCGTATGAATCAGAGAACACAAGTAACACAGTGCTCTTCTAGGTTTGCCATCGTCAGCTGCTCAGCAGAACAACTGGGAATTTCATAGGTCACCACGTCGATATCCACAAAGCAAGTATGACTTCAAAGGAAAAGAGAGGACATCAAAATCATTGAAGAACCCGCGCTCGAAGCCAAGCGCTACTTCCTCCAAATGCCGTGGAGGAGGCGACGGTGACCAACAATCCGAAAACGAAACGAGACTCGACGATACGCTCTATAATTTGTTCAGAACCGTCTACTTGTGGGGTTCTTCCTGGGAAAAGGGCGATATCATGACATCGAAAATCAAACGAACCAAACCGACCTGTCCCAAGCGGCAGACGACCAGGAGGTCAGCGACTCAGAGGGGTGAGCCGTGGTGGGAACGTCTGAGCCGCACCAAACGCCCGCAGTGTAACACGGAAACGTTCCGCTCCTTCAACTGGTGGCAGGCGAGGAAGGATTGCGATTGCACGCGTGACTGCATCCACGAACTAGCCAGCCAGCTCTCCTCACGCTGCGTGGACCTCGACGCCAGCGCCGACCGCCTCTCAAAGCCCAGAAAGCCGAACGTGCTGTCATCAGACCGCAAGCGGTTTCGCTCCTTCAACTGGTGGCGCGCCTGCCGCGCAAGGGAGAAGCGTATCCCGCCAATCACACAGGTCTCGTCTCGGCTGACCGGGACTCGGAGGAGGTCGACGGACGCGGAGTGTCCCGAACCGTGCTCGGACAGCTCCAGCACCACGGAGAAGGTGTACCGCACCTTCTCCTGGTGGCGCCCCAGTCGCAGCGACTGCGCTCGAGGCGCCGGCGGTCCGCACACTCGCATCTCGCGCAGTCTCTCGCTCGACTCGCGCTCGCGGCGCAGCGGTAGCGGGGATGAAGTATACGGCCGGCGAGAACGCTCCCTCTCCCCAGCGCGGCACAAGACGGACAAGCCGCCGTGCCCGTCACTGTTCCGGAGTTTCTCCTGGTGGCAGCTGCCGCGTGAGCGAGTGCTCCGCTCAGAAACGAGCTCGCCGCCTCCGAAGCTGCGACGCCGCGTGAGCTTCAACTTTGGCGAGGGAGACGCCAGCGGCGAGAGCTCGCCAGGGGCCGGTGATGTGCCGGCTCCTGGCTGGAAACGCACCGTGATCAAATCCCGGGAGAACGAACAGCGCACTGTGCCCGTCCAGCCGGAGCCGTGCCGACCGAAACCGCGGCCGCGGCCCCCCGACCAGTTCGGCTGTGCAAAAATCCTCCGGGACGCCGCGCAGGCTGGGGGTGGTGCTGGGGACAAGCACACTACAGCGGCCAAAAAGAAACCACCAGAGAAGGTGAAACACAGGAAGCCTGTCCAGGCACCGGCGAAAGGCGCCAAGCATGCAGCGCCTGCAGCCGCTAAAAGGAAACCCCCTCAGCGGTCTAAGTCACCCCCCAGATCCAAGTCACCCGGGAGATCCAAGCAGCGTGGAAGATCAAAGTCACCAGGGAGATCCAAGCAGCGTGGAAGATCCAAGTCACCGGCGAGATCCAGGTCTCCAAAAAGATCCACGTCTCCAAAGAGATCCAGATCTCCAAAAAGATCGAAATCACCGCCGAGCCCAAAGTCTCCGTCACGTCACGGTTCTCCTAAGCGACACGGTGTGCGTTTCTCTCCACCTCCTCGACCCAAATCAGCAGAACGGAGTCCTCCCCGGTCCAGGACTCCTCCCAAATCTGAGTCGGAGTCAGCGGAGTCCGACTACTCAGAGTCGACGGTCAGCTCGAGCTCGGCGTCGACCACCTCCAAGACGAGCGGCACCGGCTCACGGCGGAGTGGCAGCGCCAGCTCTCGACCTGACTCGGCCAGCAGGGGCAGCCCTCGGCCAGCCTCGGCCGGTCGCAGGGGGCCCGACCAGCGCACCCCGCCGGTACCAGAGGAGACGCCCCCTCCTCAGGTGACACAGGTCAGCGACCAGTCCAGTCGCGTCGCCTGGATAGGCGTGGTCAAAGACTGGCTGGCGGTGATCCGATCCTGGACAGGACGCACCTGGCGGATTTCGAGGGTCTCTCGAAATACCAAGTGTGTGATGGCGGCCGGCTTGATGTCAGTTTTAGCCGGATACATCTCTACTAACCATTGGGAAGAAGTGGAGGAGTTGTTGGGTTTGACTCCGGATGATCCATGCGGAAGGCCAGAAAATACATATTTTTGCATCTGATGATTGTTGTGTCTGTATTCATGTAGGTAGATCGTTCATGTCAAGACTTGTGTGCACAGTGCAACAATAAAGCAATGTCCATTGCCCAGGCCCGATGCATAGTCACTACTGCTTCCTAGTCAATCTCTCACAAATATGATAAACATCAAATAACATGTATTTCTCCCTCGTCCCTAAGGGAAAGCATACGGTGAAAGACAACATCTGCTAACGTGAATTATAACAGCTCAGCATATGCATTACATCGTAGGAGCTCCGACGAGTGTCGGTGTCCGCGTAAAAGCTGCCGTCGTTAGTGACAGGCCTATGTAGCGGCAAACGACAAACAGTGAATGGTAGAACGCTACGGGCCTGATGCCTCATCGCTTCGTCCCTTCCCTTTCTGGTAATACTAGTTATATGGTCGAATTGTAATGCAGCTGGTCCACATTAAGTTCAGGCCAAGCGTCTCACTCGCACACATCGCAAACAGGCGCAGATCACTCGTACACTCACACATCGACAGACATATGATCCTTTCTTTGGTATTAAGGTCAAGTAATCACTTCATTAGTGCATTCCTAAAACAGTGAAGAATCCATAAATTACTGCATTGCTTTTTAGTTCAGTTTGACCCAGCTTCGTATACATTTGTCACTTCTTTATCGCTCAATAATACCCGGGATAAAAATGTTATACAATTTTAATCCCAGAGTGCTTTAATTCAATTCCTGGCAAAATGCAGACAAAATAAGACAGAGCCATGCTTGCATTCTAAGCGTCCCTCGCTTTTTATGTACACGCAAAACGATAGCATACCCAACACTTGGTCATCCCTTCTTCCCCTCCCTTCTCACTGAATCACAGTTAACATCAATCATACATCAACCATGATTACTCCTATTCTCAACTACTGAGCTGAATGTAACAAGCGCGTACATTGAACATCATACATCTATGAGCGTTCCTCCATTCCGATCATGACCTACGAAATAAGACGGTCATATTTATACATTTCCGTTCAATTATCCCGGCAACAGCAACCACAGAGATCGGGGTATGTACTGTTTGGTCTCTTTTTGCCCGAAGAACGCAGTTAACTGCAGGATTTGTGAGAATCAGCAAGTTCCTATTGCATCTCTGAGCAATAGCACTCTTCTTACAAACGAAACGATATTTCGATCGACAGCCGAGAATAATTATGGGGCAACGGACCAGATATCAAAGTAAATGAAGGACGAGCGTAGTATACAATATGCCATTCACATTAAGAACGAAAACGGACGCCTTAAATATGAGTAAACTTTCGACCCACTTATTCGATGTAGAAGATAACAATATACGAATACTGCATGGGGGAGCGGGCAATAGCAAAAAATATTGCCCGATGTGACGTCACTGTCGCCCGAGGGTGAAGACCGAAACAAGTGCTATTGCCCGAGGCGAAGCCGAGGGCAATAGCACTTGTGGAGGTCTTCACCCGAGGGCGACAGTGACGTTACAGAGGGCAATATTTTTGCTATTGCCCGCTCCCCCATGCAGTATTCGTTTTATTACATGGCCAACTCTCGGAATCTTTACTTAGTACTCATTCATCCCGTAATAAAAAATATCCAAACACAAATATCATGGTACAATTGAATGTATTGGATATACAATCATAGCCACGTCACATGTCTACGGCACACACTTAGTTGCTTTACATGAAAGTTGAAGATGCAGCCTGTGAAGAGCTGGCCGCCGCCGGTCTGAGGCTCCACTGATGTAGATGCTGTGGATGTCGTTGCATCTCCCACGAGGCTGAGCGTTCACCGTCCTTGCGATTTGCGATTTGCGATTCCGATTCCTTTTGCGATTCCTTGCGAGTGTGGAGACTCTTCGATTTGTAGCGTTCATCGTCCTTGCGTTTTACAGTAATGAAGAACTCCTTCACAGCGTTGTCCAGGACATCGTTGCTGTGCATGCAGCTTTCAACAGATATGTCTTTTACTTGCAAGAACTCAATGAAGACGTCTTCTGCTGATTTAATCACCTTTTTAGTGCCCTGAGCCCTGCGCGATGAAAATAGCTCATCCAATTCATGCGGCTCCAACAAATTAAATCGGGGTATTTGAACGGACATGTTCAAATGACGGCCCAGTTCTTGATGACTTGACTAGCCAATCACGAAATCAAACTGAACAGTCTGAGAAAACGACGATAAAATTACGACATTTGAATTTTTGTTCAAACACCACTGAGCGAGCAACTTACTATTGACCGTTGACATGGCAACCGCTTCTCACCTTCAGAAAGGTCAGTAACCTGACACTGAAAGGTCAGTAACCTGATGCCGGGCAATATTAAAAAATATCTCATGCCAAATTAACACAGGAGCCATGTAATAATTGCATACACTTCGTGGTGTCGTAGTACCGTGCTGTGAATATTTTAAGTGGCTTAATCTTTTATTGTATCGAAATCATGCGCGTTTTCATGTCAGCGATCACTTTTCCATCGATCGTCGACATATGAAAAGCACCTGGCCGATGAGTTTATACAGATGTTATAACGAAAGAGGTTGACTACAGTCACGTCGCCGTGAAATCAACGTAGGTCAAACAAGTACGCCTTTTGCATATGTCTCACTCTGGGCCTATAGATCGTAACAATATTACCCGATAACCAGCATAGCGCTCTAACATTAAACATTGGGCACCTCGCCACACAGCTCAATGCAACTGAACATGAGGGACACTCCATAAAAAATCATTACGTACAAATGCCTGCGCTACCGCTACCGTCCTAGTCTCTAGGATTATTATATCGACCCTACTGCGACTAGTAAACGACTAGATATAAAACGTACAGCCAAAGAAGCGTCAGGAACGAGACTCGAATTCGAGTCTCAGTCCTAGCGCAAAAGAGTGAAATGCACTTGGTGAAAATACTGCTGCCTAGAGCTTTGAACCGACTATATATTTAGCCGGAACTAGTTTCCATATAAACGCGCTATAAATACTTCTGGTCGGTGAATGACTTCATTCGCATGGTGAGTATTTTTGAAATGATCTCTCTTCATATCTGAAAGTGTATCATGAAAAAAGATCTTCAGGGCAAAATCGATCAAATATTACGACGCTTGACGTGAGCGTTTCGAATAGGAATGGAGTAGTTATGTGGCTAAATAAGTTGATCGATGGATCGTTGTTTCGTCAACTGCACTGCATGTGGCAGCGCCGTGTTAGGCTAGATGGCAGCACCTGCTCCTGTCCGTAATCTCAGACGGGTACCGGGGACGCCGAGCGCCGGCAGAGGCAGCAGAGGCTGCGACACAGCGACCTCAGCCCGCGGCGGAAATCCTCACTGGCCACCAGGTACACCAGCAGCTTCCACACCGAGTTCAGCATTCCCATCCAGAACAGAGAGAAATGCAGAAACGGGGCGTCCACCGGCGCGCCGGCAGCAAACTCGAACAGCCTCAGACCGATGTAGGGTAACCAGGAGAGCCAGAACAGCACGGTGAGTACAAACGTCATGACGATGTCGGGGTTGGCCAGGTTCTCCACCACGGCGCTCAGGTACTCCTTGTCCAGGGTCTGGGCGTAGCTGGTGCGCACGCGGGCGGCCATGTGGAAGATGAAGCCGTATGTGTAGCTGGAGGTGATGACTGGAGGACCGAGCACCATCATGGCGACCGTGGCCGAGTAACCGAGCATGTCACTCCAGTCGGCCAGGCAGATGTACGCGCCGGCGTCGTACAGAGGGGAGCTGAGCCCGAGTACTGGAGGACAGCAGAGCACCATAGCCGAGAGCCAGGAGACGGCCACCCAGCACTGGCAGCGCACCTGGCGGCGGAACGGAGAACTGTCAGCGATCGGAGCGCAGCTGGCGGCAAAACGGGGAACTAGCAGCGCTGGCAGCGATCCTGGTGGCGCGAGAGAGAACTATTAGAGGAGTGATGCATCGGGCTTTCGAAAATGCAAACATCAACGCTGAAAACTGAGTTCTATTTAAATGTACAACTGCATACATTGAACATGTAGCGAATGATATGCATACAGCAAGTTGCTCATCCAGCCAGTATTGGTGTAAACAACACCTAAGCGATGGGAGCGTTCGTTTAGTTTGCGCTTTCGGTGAAGCTTAGAATCCGTCTTGAGTCTCGACAAGTCCGGCTGTAAAAGCGCAGTAAATAACATCCTCTGATGATTCTAGATGGCGAGTGTAATACCCTAACCATCCCTAATGCTCCCGGCTGGAACCCTGATGACGTCACCGTTCTGACATTGATCACGGGTGCTATTTCGGCCCCTGCAGACAGCAGGGCCGTTCGTCTCGGTCCGTTTGGATAACGGGACCGTTAGCACCAGGGGTCCAGCGAGAGTCTGACTCAGAAAGTCGACTGGTGGACCGAGAAACTGCGGTGAGTTCAGAGAAGCTAGCCAGGCTGGGTAGACTGGCCTAGTGTGGTATTTTGCAGCAATGCAGTGGTATTTCAGCTGCAATTGTCGGCCATTTCGACCCTCCAGCTCACTACTGGGGCGGTAATAGCCTGAATGATTTAAATAAGCTCCAAGTGTGGACGTGGTAATAGCCCAGGAGCCGGATTGGGCTGGAGAAAGTGCACGGATACATTTCGCCGGGACAGAATCACCGAATAGCACAGGGAGGCGCCACTCTGTACTGCTCGTAACGGGGAGCTCGGGCCGTGCTGGTCAGTGGTACTGGGTGGCCATTTCAGTGGAAATACGGGGATCATAAGATACAGTAGGTCACTCGACGGGAGAACTAATTACTTCAGGCCATCCACAGAAATGGCGCAACCGACCCAGTAAGAGATGAGTGACGTGATACGACCGCGTTATGTAACACTACAAATGGATCAAATCAATTGCAACTCGTATGACAGGCTGAGCGAGCGAAACGCTTTCTTATATAACTGTTCCACCGACGATGAGCGCTATTTCTGTGCTTCAATGGTCGGTTTGGTGCGGAGCTCAGTGCCGCTCTCCAAGCGGAGTGTGCTATTTTGCTATTCTGTCCATAGATGTCGCTAGTATATAGCGACTGAATGTAGGCTGTACCGCACGACTTCAGGCCGCCTGGATATAGGCTGTACCGCATGGCGTGAGCTTGCTTGACTGCGCCCACGGCGCCCGCAGTCCTTCCTTTACAACCACGCTGCCTTCTGACCATCGAAGTAGGGTTAGGAACTTCAGAGAAATAATTCAGTATCACGTCCGACCTACAGATCAGGCCTATTTGATTTGGTGCACATTTGAGCCACTCTTTGGCTAGGAGAGTAGAGATACGCGATTTAAGTATTAATCCTAACAGAGTTATGTGTAAGAGATGCATAGCAGCAGACTCACATATTTATGAGATTACAATACGGAAAACAGTATTTGATTGTGGAAGCCTTATCGTTGAGTCCGTTGACTTTGGTCAATTATTCTCCCGGAGGCCATACCAGCGCTGTCCGTGACAGACAAATCGCGAAACCCTGTGTGCACCTCAAACCCCGACAAATCGCCAAAACCCTGTCTTCTTAGATCAGAGAATTCCGACTTGGTGTCTCATGTGCATAGTAGAATTGAAAGCAGGTGGGCTGTATATTTCTACTGAATTTATGACAAATTTGGCATTCTATGGATGATGTTAAAATTTCAAATTTGATGTTTGAAAATGTGCGTCAGACGTTATGGAAAGCACGGCTATTGGGTGCGGTATTTCTGAGCTCCGCGGGGCATAATGGACCCCCTCGCTGTATGTCAATGACCCGGCCTTCCATCTTGCAGGGCTTCAGCTGACAGGCGCGGGCTGGAGTTGCGGGTGGCAGAGCTGAACGGACTGAGCTGAGTGGACCGGACTGGGGTGGCGGGATATACTGGACTGAGTAGGTGGCGGACTACATTGAACTGAGCGGACTGAACGGCTGAGCGGACTGAGCTGAGTGGACTGGACTGGGGTGGCGGGATATACTGAAAGGTAGAGGCCAACATAAGCCGGCTGTGAGCACGGCTGGCTGCATCCTCATACTATGGGTAAATTGTTTACGGCCGGCTGACGGCCGGCTGCCCACAGTTAGCCACGGCTGTGGCCGGCTGTGGCTATGGAGCCACGGCTGCGGGGCGCCTAGGCTGCAGTGGAAAATTGCTGCCGTGCAGCCCTCTATTGAACTCACTGGATGCAGGACTTTACAGGGCTTTTCAGAACTGTCAAATGACTGTAGGCACTGAGTGCGAGTGAATAGTCAGGACTAAGATATGACGGACTGGACGATGAAAACATTTTTCAACCCACCTTCCTACCACTACGGTATCATCTTCCTACCGTACTGTTCAGCCAAATCAAATCATCATGAACCCTAACCTCTAACACCATAACCCCTGACCCATCAGAGCCAATCACATCTGCATCCCCCCCCTCAGCCCCAACCCCATCTCGATTCTCACCTTAGTCTGAATGGTGTCATATCGGAGCGGTTTGACGATGGCCAGATACCGGTCCACGCCGATCCACATCAGAGTGTAGGCCTGGGACGCCCAGAGCGTAACCTTGAGGTACCCCATGAGCCGACAGACGTGTGCGCCGTACACCCACTGGTGCACGAGCGCGGGGTACACGCTGAGCGGAGCCACCACGCAGCCGGCGAGCAGGTCTGACGCGGCGAGGGACAGGAGGTAGTACTTGATGACCTCCTTCGGACCTGCAAAAGGGAGAGATAAAGAGGTTAGACGGGCGAGTGAGTGGTCAAATGTTTGACGCTTGAACGGTGAGTTTGTTTCAACGGATTATGTTTTGACGTGTTTTATCTGCATCTGCCCGACGATGTTATTTTGAGTTATACGACAAATCAGAGAAAATACGTTCCCAAGCTGACCCCGTCGTGAAAAGACATGGATATCATTAGATATCATCTGAAAGGCACGATCTGAAAAGCATCAACGTAAGATCCAATCATTTGAATGCAAAACAAAAACGAGAGAAAATAAAACCCCAGCGTAAAAATCGCCGCTGATGACCGTTCAAATCACATCAGTGAATAAGACCATGATTCATTACAGCCAACCTATAAACAGCTTTGCTAGCCAATCATGTCCGTACATTTATCGTTTGGATGTGGCAAGTCAGATCTCCGCTCTGCCTATAATTCTGGACTCGAAACCAATTTGTATGATTAGTTACACAACTCTATTTCCAGTCAGATAAGCGTGATTCCAAATATAAACGAGCGCATCGCTGATAGCGACAGTGCGGAATGAGCTGAGATGAAACGTTGGACGAGTGTGTCTGCAGCACAGCCTGATTTAAGCTGAGTGCTCGCTGAAAGATGAGCACCACACTGCCTCTCCACAGCTGCAGTGAAATAACTCAGCCGTGCAGCATAACTCTTGGATGCAGCTGGCGGGCGGCTCTATTCAGCGGGGCCGGTCATCCACGCGGGCCGGCGCCGCTGCGCCGTTCCCAGCCGCGCCAGCAGCGGCGCCGATCGCCACCGGTCCGCGGGCTCATCTCTGCTGAATTGTGGCCGACATCTGAGCGAGTGGTCATTGAAATTGAGACGGATGGTCTCATCCAGGCGCGGCGGGCAATTTTCCGCCAACAACGGTCGGCGTCGTTCCGAGTCGTGGCGTGATCTCTCGCCCGCCGTACCACCGCGGCCCGACACGTCAATTATTCAGTGCCTCTGCTTTATGGAGGCATGTGATTGCCTCGTAAGCCGGCTGACATTTACAATTTACAGCGCTGAACACGGAGACGTCCCATGACAACTTGACACGCCGCCGGGTCGCACGGAAGTCGAACGGCCGAGCCGGGGATCGGTGTTCGGAGGTTTGCTGAATGTCTGATGAGGGTATGAGTCAGGCACGTGGCCGAGGATCACGCTGGCACGTGATGCTAATTCCCGTGGTACCGACCGGAGGAAATGGTACACTCTCACGGGACGTTTAGCTGAGAATCGAAGCAGCTAACTAGTTGCCGTAGAATGGCTTACTTCGCGGCGCAATATACATGTAAGGGAAGGAGGGTGAATTGCGCCACCTTAAGGAAGAACGCTAATTGTAAGAAAACCACTGGAGATATAAGCATGCACTGGTAACCATTTTAAAGAGGAACTCATTGGCTACGATTTAAGGGCCTCCCGATCAATTAACCCTATTCCTGGCGGGGGGGCCTCAGGAGCCCCCCCCCCTGAGGTTTTTTGGTTATTTCTCCCAAACGCGTTGAGCTAGGAAGCTCAAATTTTCTGACTTTTCCTAAAAGGCTTCTACGCAACATGTCTGAAAATTTTGAGTTGATCTGACCTCAGGTCAGGTCACCAGAGGCGGTTTGGTGACCCTACCTCAGAAAAGTTTGCAATCACGCCAGAGCTAGAGTTTTTGACCGATCAATTTCTTCTCTTCAGGCTTTAGTTAGGGTACCAGTATGTGCAATTTGTATATCTCGGAATTTCGATATCGGTGACCTAAGGTCAGGTCAGTTTCGCGACCTCCCCATTATAAGTCAATGGGGGAAAAATCAACTCCCTGTTTTTAAGAATCGAAGCAGCTCAGCCCCCGTTCACGAGCTTCAGAATTCCTTTACCGTGACGTCATCACGGCGCATGAATTTTCCTTCACCCATAGAAATGCATGCAAAGCGTGGTGTGTTTCAGGCGGGCTAAGGAGAAATCTAAGGCCTACATGTGTTCAAAAGACGTACCACTAAGCCAATGGATTCGTCTCATTACGATAAATGGGGTTGAAATCGAAACATTCGGCCTATATTTATCTAAAATAGGCCAATCAAATGGTCCCTGCAGCTCATAATGAAGGATTTCCTCTGCGTTGAAAAATTTGTTTCAAGTGTTTTTTTATCAGCGACAGGGGAAATCCTTCATAATTGCTACCAGATAACTACCATATTCCCTCGCATTTCTGTTGCGCATTGCCTCACAAATCAGAGTTTTGTGAAGTTTATATTAATTTAATTGTCATATTTTGACTGATTTTGGCGATTTTCAATTATTTCAACGCAGCATGGATCAGATAGCTCTCATAGTTTGCTGAAGAATGTGGCTTTTGCTTGGTTATTTTCAAGTTATCTGTGATTTGGTGCGCCGTGATCGTAGCATTATGCAAAATGCAAATTATTAAATCAACTTTTGAAGTTAAGTTCACTTGAAAAACCAATAGTTCAAGCATAATAATTGTTTAAACATAATGATGCAACATGTGTGTCCCAGATGGAACTTATATTTCAATTGAAAACTGAAAATGGAAAACAGAAGATGGATCTGCGGAGTTACTGAGATCACAAGGTGCTCTTGATTGAATGATTGATGGTAATTGAAGATGTTGAGAGAACTTGTGAATCTGCTTAACAGTCCTGACTTGCTTGATTGTTTAAAACTATTTTAATTCTCATAATTGTGTAATGTGTAGTGACTGTGCACACTGCGCAGCACATGTGCGCAGAAATGTGCAGGTGGCTGGTAGGTGGGTTAAACTTTGGAGATGCGAATTTGTATGTCAGTTTTAAAATTAATGGTTATGCCTTGTAGAGTAAGCTGTGCTGTTTTTTTGTAATTGTCTTTTTATAATTGTAACCATCAATGCTGTTAGTTTCATTTTTATTGAAATGCTCGACCAGAATTTGCACTTGTTCATGCATGAATGGCTAAGTTTGGGGTGTTTATTCAACCCTGACTGCTCAAGTTTTTCAAAGGCACATGACACAGCACGGCTAGATCAGCTGGTACCTACCTGTTGACTATTTTTGTTTTTGGTGGTGATGTGTTTGCTGTTTGTCTTTTGCAAGGTGGTCAATGAAATAAAATAATGCTTTATTTTGGAATGTTTCCTTGACAGAAGCCAGGAGTCGGATTGATGTGTGCTGGTGAATGAGATGGTTCAAAAGCATTATCTGATGTTTTTCAATGTGCATAAGCCATAACATCCCTTTCATACGCTGAAGTTTTAATAGCTTCTCAGTCTCTGTCATTTTCCTGAAATATTGGTGTAGATAAGAGATATCAGTACCTTCTCAGAGGTACCTACCTGCCTTCTGCTGGATGAATATTTAATTGGTTGGACGAAATGGACAGGTAGCCTTATGATAATGTAATGTGAAATCTTATTTCTATAAAACTTTGAAAATGAAGTTCTAATTATTGATATGTGCATACATATTTGATGACTAAGAAAGTTTTCCACAAGAGTAGAAAATGTGGGAAAGTCTATCAAATGACACATTCTGAAGGCTCAATGCTGACAGAGTGCTGCCTCAAAGAATAACTGACTTGCTGGGTTACGAATATTTCTTTATTTTAATTTTCAAATGTAATGTACAATACATTGCAGTGAAATAACAAAATAGTGCAGTAAAATAGGATTGGCGACGATCAAACAACACGTGCGCCATTGATGTCTGCAAAAATTGCTACCAGATTGCTACCAAATCCGTGACGTAGCTACGGCGCCTTTATTTCCCTAGTGAACCAACCTGAGTAGTAAAGAATCGAAGCAGCTAACTAGTTGCCGTAGAATGGCTTACTTCGCGGCGCAATATACATGTAAGGGAAGGAGGGTGAATTGCGCCACCTTAAGGAAGAACGCTAATTGTAAGAAAACCACTGGAGATATAAGCATGCACTGGTAACCATTTTAAAGAGGAACTCATTGGCTACGATTTAAGGGCCTCCCGATCAATTAACCCTATTCCTGGCGGGGGGGCCTCAGGAGCCCCCCCCCCCCTGAGGTTTTTTGGTTATTTCTCCCAAACGCGTTGAGCTAGGAAGCTCAAATTTTCTGACTTTTCCTAAAAGGCTTCTACGCAACATGTCTGAAAATTTTGAGTTGATCTGACCTCAGGTCAGGTCACCAGAGGCGGTTTGGTGACCCTACCTCAGAAAAGTTTGCAATCACGCCAGAGCTAGAGTTTTTGACCGATCAATTTCTTCTCTTCAGGCTTTAGTTAGGGTACCAGTATGTGCAATTTGTATATCTCGGAATTTCGATATCGGTGACCTAAGGTCAGGTCAGTTTCGCGACCTCCCCATTATAAGTCAATGGGGGAAAAATCAACTCCCTGTTTTTACCACTAAAACGGGTCGGAATGGCCCCATATACCATACATGACTTCATATACGATCAACCTTCACTACCTTGAGGTCTGTTTTGCTGTTGGGCAGCTGTGAGGTCATGTGACGTCATCAAAGGTCACCAAAGGTTTTTTGCCAATAACTCCGTACAGGAACAAGATACAGCCGCGCGGATGGTCTCATTGTGTTCAGCTCGTCAAGACGCATCGAATGATATACATGATGACCTCGAGGTCACGTGACCTGAGGTCAACCTTTGACCTTGACCTTTCGAGGTCAAAATATATATCATTCGATGCGGATTGACGAGAGGATCACGATGATGCCCTTAGTTTGTTCCTATCTTGACTAATTCGAAAGTTATTCGAGAAAAACTCTCTCCATATCTAGCGCCGCCATTTTGACTTTTTCGACCCCTGTGACGTCATCTTTGACCTGACCTGAAAATGACCTTAGTAAAAATTGTAGATCTTGACCGTGCGTATCCGATGCCGTTTACCGTTTGTCGCTGCGATGTGTAGTTATTGAGATCTGAAGGGGGGCCGAATCGGCCCCCCCCCCGCCAGTTTCTTGTCCCGGCGGAGCCCGCCAGGAATAGGGTTAAGAATGTTTCGTTTGCTTCT